TCCTCCTCTCCTTCTTCACACAACGCTGCATAATCATTCACGGCGGGTTCTTCTTCCGTTGCTCGCAAAAATCTGTCGGTGGAATTTCATCTCAAGCGCCCGCGCTTGCACTTGCTACCGCAATGGAAATATAGATTTATTATTTCGTTCGAGGAGCGTCAATTTTTCAGAGCGTGTATTAAAATGTATATCTCGATAAGAGAGAGAGAGCTACTATATAATTTATATATTCTTGAAAAATGCATGTATTTCAAGATTGAGATTATTTTCAAAAACTTTTAAAACTTTGAAGAGATGAGAGATATTTAGGCGTGTGTTTATATATACGACCCGCTTTCTCTGCGCCGAAAAATCAAGAATAAATTTCTTGTACGTTTCCGGTCTAATTAATCAAAGCGAACACGTTGAAGAAAAAAAAGAGGAGGAGGGATTTATAAATGCATTCTATTATTTGTAACATAATTACGTATTTCGGTGTTTGCTTATAACGATAATGAATAAAAAGCGATAATGAACATTATCCCGCTTACGTGGCATATGTAACTAGATAATTACGAGTGTAAGGTATCGGTTAATGACTGCGATCGTGTTCGCGGCGCGCAAACAAAATCGGTTAATTATAATAATGATAAAAACACGCGCTATACGCGCTCGAGGCGTGTCATTTAACTGCGTCGATTATCAGTCGCGGAAGCGAGAGAGAGAGAGAGTCGACTTTAATACATCGAATCCGATTAAAAATTATTTATCGTTCGATAAAGGAAACGAGTGACAAAAAAAAAAAGAGCGACGTACGCGAAGACGGAACGGGAGGTTGCGCAACTCTTGTCGAGCAATTTGCATGATTAAGTTCACCCATTTTTTTCTCTATCCCCTGCTTCGGCCTGTCCGCGCACCAGATACTGGATTCTCACGGTACGCCAATTGGAGTCAACTCATCTAAATACCCGGGCTACCCGCTATTACGGACGCGCGAGAGGAGGCCCATTATGTAACCGACGTGGACAATGTTGTCCCGCATTCGCCAATTGGCGAACGTCGCGAACCTTTTTCAACGCGAGTGTCCCACTTTAGAATTATGAATGAGAGGCTTGTAAAGGCGAACGCTAAATGTATGTACCATACTTGTCATGTTGCTGTTACGGATAAATAATGAAATAGACACGCTATATAATTGTAAAAAATTAAAAAATCACACTCTTGCGTTAAGTTATAAATTTATAGTTAGATTTTATATATATGCATTTTATATAAAATCCCACAATTAAAATTCCGATGGGAATTTATTACCTAACAAAGAAGAAAAGACGCGTCACCGTTGGACAATTTTGAAACGTGGAAAATTTAACGGAGCAGTTTGAATGATTCTTCTCGTAATAATCTCCACCTCACTAATAAAGCCATTGCCTAGGTCCGGTTAGGCACGTCTAAACGTCTAATGACTGTTTCCTAGAGAGACGCGTCAGTCCGAATACAAAGCGAATTAGAATAATTCGTTCTGTCTGGCTGCCTCACTAAATATATATCGCGTTAGACTATCGTTGTCATCGTTGTCTATTGATCTCAGCTCTTGCCATTACATATATAATTGCAATTATTTATTTAAATGTTTATAATACAGGCTCATTTTACTCCGAAAAAGATGTATAATACTTGTCATTCCGCGGAGAATTAAAACAATGAAGCACAAATTCCACATTCTACGAATCGTTTATCTCACAGAATGTTCGTTTCACTCGAAACTATTTTATGTCAAATAAAGTTTATAAGTGTGTCTCAGCTATGTCAAAAAGAAAGGATAAATTATAATAGCATCAATAAGAGAAAATGCCTATAAACAAATTTTCGCAATTTTAAAGACCATATAATTTTTATTTATGATTTTAAATACCACTTCAGTACGATTATATTCAATGAATAATCCCCGATTAAATATTAGCGCGTCCAACCGTAACAATAACATAACAATAATATATTTTATTATTAATAACTCATATTTAATAATATGACAATTGTGTCGCCAAAAGGGACTATATATGAAAAGGAAAAAAAAAAGAGAATTAATTTTGATCTACGCGAAATATGAATTTCTGCAGAGGAGCTATAGGCTTCTCGAAACAACGGAACACTCGTCCCTCGACAGAAAAATTTCTATCCGATACCCACGCCAGAAGGAAATCGTTTTTTCTACGTTGGCGCAATTTGCCATGTAAATTCGATCGTAACATGATTACACGCCTTGGCAAACTATAACCGGGTTCGTCGCCGCCGTCGGTTGTCGAAGCTAGACGTCGTTCCGTCTTGATCGATCTTGTGATCGATCTTTCGATATGCGTATAGATATAGATCCTCGCAGAGATCGTGCCAGATGGCCTATGGGACGGGACGAGACCATTATGCCCGGTCGTCCGAGAATCCGTAATGAAATTAGAAATTAGAAGGAAAGAGAGGGTCTCGATTTGAATTTTCCTGGAATTTCTCGACCGCCTTCCTAGCTACATAAGAAGACCTCTGATAATGGACAATCTTGTCTTACATGATTGCCGATAGCTAAAGAGAAACTCGTAAAAAATCGCGTGGATGATTATTAGTTTAATTTAATATCGTAGAAAATTTATAGCGAAATAGTATAGTAGTCGAAGCATTCTACTTCTGTGCAAATTCATCCTCTTGAATTTTTTTCAAAGAATTCATCACAAAATTATTTCTACTAAAAAATCTGCGCAAATCTCTGGCTCTATATATTTGTAAATAAATAATCTAAAATAAAAAATTCAAAAAAAAGAGGGAAAAGGCACCTGTAAAATTTTCGCAGGCAGAGAATCAGAAAAACTTCTTATTTTTAACTTTGACATATGGAATTAATATTTAAGAGCAGGCGCGGGCGTAACTCACGAAGAGTGACATAGTCTCAAATGTAATAAAAAAATAAATAAAAAATACAAACCCCGTTACCGGTTGTCACATGTCGCGGACAAAAAAAAGCATTGATACCACAGAAGAGAGGAGGACTCGCGTACAACACAAAACTCCCCAGCGTATACGCGTAGCTCGTGTTCGATCACCCGTTAAGAAGGAAGCTCTCGATGAGGCCCCGATGTCCAAGATAAGACGAACGTCCTCTCACGCCGAAGTTCGGGGACCAGCGGCCCCCTCACGTAATCCACGAGTACGTCGCGACGAATTTGTTCGCCTGCCCAATGAGCCATAAGTGCACCCCCATACTCCCTGAAGAGACCCACGTTTGCCACGTTCTTCCACATCATGGCGAGGAAGCCGCGAAACTGGGCCCTCGTGCTTCAAAATGGCTACCGTCCGCATCATTGGGCCCGATCGAAGATACGTGAAATTTAAAAAAAAAAAAAAAAAAAAAAGTTGCGGGAAAATCGCCGCGTCTCTCGAATCGCCACGTCGAATCTTTCGCTACATATACGCGCGATACGTAAATTTGTATGTAATTATGAAACCCTTGCAATTAGTGAGAATCGAACAAACGCGCACAAACTGTATACGTTACCATAATATTAATATAATATACTAACGATGTTTAATTTATATAATAAATCAGTTTTCCATATAATGTGATATGGAAAACTGCGATGCGATATTTAATCGTTGAGAATTTACGTGGCGCAGATATAACATATATAACTAGAGGAAAGGGACGGTATGTACCTTGTGATATCGATACTTGTCGGAAAATATAGACCGTGCCGCGGCATACGTCGGTGAAGAAAATATTAACAAAACGTATGATGCATTATTAATAATTTTTACACGCAATGGGAAAGCTCTGCGGACGCGACCAATTAAGAGAGCGGGATTCAATGAAAATATACAATATACGTAGAAATATCATGGACAAGGCAAATTTGTTATATCTCGTCTTTAACTTCTCGTCGATCGAGTGTTTATCTTTTATTAAAATAAATTAAAATAATATGTTTTAAATATAATTCTTTATTTTTGACAACTATCAGCTGATTTCTGTCAAAAAATATTAATCGAGAATAATGCGTTATAACATATTATTTAAAACATTACTATTTTAATTTTTATAACATATTACTATTTTAAAATTTAATTAGCAAATTAACGTTTGATTAGTATTTTTGACTGAAATCAGTTGATTAAAGCGTTAATTTGCTAATTAATTTTTAAAATAATAATATATTATAATAATAATAAAAATAATATGCTTTAAATAATATGTTACAATACTTTAAACTCGATTAATATTTTTTGACAGTTATCAGCTGATTTATGTCAAAAAGTATTAATCGAGTTTAAAGAATATACATGTAACATATAATTATTTTAATTAATTTTGCGGTATTTTTATATTGAAAAAAGTACGGCAGGAGAGAGGAGAACATTGTCGAAAAGAGTATGCAAATGAACGCGAGAAAGAGAGAGAAAAATATTTATTTATAGGATATTTAAGCTTTTTAGGAATGAGGAACCTTAAACGCGGATCCTTATTATGCACGCGCCCGAAGTAATTGCACCGGGGTCATTTGTTACCGCAAATAAAAAGTGTCGAATCCGGCCCGAAAGCGCGAGAGACCGTCGGTGTGTAATTTGTCGATCGAATAATGCGATGTTAATAGAATGGTGTATACCGGTCGGGTACACCGACCTCATAAATCATTTGTTAATTTGACAGAGCCCATTCAAGCTGAGAGCTTCTTTCTCTCTCTCTCTCTCATTTCTTTTTCTTTTCTCGCCGGCGATCCTTCGACTGCTCCTCTTAGAGCCGGCTCCTGCCGGTTGAAAGGATCCGAAACGACCGTAAAAAGCAAGGGCCCCTTCGATGACCGCTAGTGGATGTGGTCGTCCGCGAAATTGCCCCTCTATTTTTGTAACTTACCTACTGCACACGCTCCCGTTCGCCTTTTTGTTTCCGCGCATTTTATTGGTTGACCTCCTTTTTCTTCTCTCTTCTCTCAAAATTCACCTCCATGATCATCGATATCGAGCACGATTAGAATGATCTCATATCATCGAATCAATGATATTTATTTATGCGAATATTATTAAACCTCTTGGAATGCGATCCAAGTCTATTAAATTGTATACAATTATATATCTATATAAGAAGCTACATAATGTATATATATATATTATTGTTTAAATTAATGAGCTATCAGATACATTATCGAGTAGCAGATGATAGTCACTAATTAACGACTCTCTTTAGCAACCGATAATTTGAATAGGATCTATCAGCCAAAAGCTCGAAGGAGAAATTAGGTTGCTACGACAGAGCACAAAGGTGCTCGTATTAGAAATGCTTGACAAAGAACAATATTGTCGGTTGTCTATCTGTTCTTGTCCACGTTACAAGAGCCGAGATATCTTCTTCTTAAGAATCTCCTTTAAATGACGACCCGATGCGAGAGCCTTCACCGATCGATAAGTCAGCGGAGTCGGGACACATTCAACATTGTGCGTCGACTCGCGGTTGAACATGGTGGAAACGGTTATCCCGAATTTTTGCACCATCGACCTGCGGACGTCGAGCGACACGATTGGCGGAATCATCGCGGTACTTTCATACTGGAAAAAGGTACCGCGGGATATGGAGGGAGACATTGACGAGGAGGATGCACGGATGGCGAACGCGAGGGGGAGAGAAAAAGAGAGATGGAGAAACAGAGAGGGGAAAAGGAGAGTATGAGGCTCGTGTTTCCGGCCGGGTGAACAACAATGCCCGCAGACAAATGAGCATCCCGCCTCCATTGTTCGTCTGATCGGCACGGCGCAGCCTCATCCCGGTTCCGCTTGCGCTACTCCGGACCTCCCTATGTCGTCGTCAGGGGCCCATGTCGTCCTCCAACACCCGGTTGGGGGGTCCTCGATCAACCTGATGCGGGCCAACACCGATTAAACATCGCTGCTTCGTCGAATCCCCGTCAACGGGAATCTCCTCGTTTTTCTCCTTCACTCTCTCTCTTTCTCCGCCCTCGGCTTTCTTATAGTCTCTTTATCTCGTCCGATTCTCTCTGCTCCTTTTGTACTACCTCTCGATCGTTCTCTTACCTTTTACCGCTTGCTTTTGTCTCTGCATGTTCGTGTCCCGCTCGTCCTTCTTCCATCGGCATGTCCATTATGCTCCAGATGGTGCGGTTCCATCATCGCGGAAGAGGTATGAAAACCAGGACGACCCTCTCGTGCGACGTGTCAGACATCAGGGTTGCGTGGAACGGAGTTACGGTTGCGAAAATTCTGTAAATTAATAAGGAGTTTATGCGGTTTTCAGTATAAAAAATGATACACTAATGGAAATGTGGAATATTATAATTACAAAATCTATCGATCAAACACAATAATTCTTAACGATTTACGCAGTCGACTGTTAAGTCATAAATTATATTGTTGTAAATATATTTTTAAAACACCGCACAAGCTTTTTTATCTAATAAAAATAGTAAGATTTCATCAAACTTTATATTTAAGACGTTGTTATTGTATTTCTTTTTATATATCTTTCTTACATCTTATTGTTATTTTTTTCTATATTTCTTATATGTATATGTGATATTATAATATATTTTTTACAGTTTGCGTATAAACTTATAATTTTATATAATTTTTTATGCGCATATTTCTTCTCGGTTCTACAATACTTTAAAATGATATAATCGAATCTCTGAAGTAGTTATCGCTCTTGCATTACAGAGTATCAATAATTTGCTGAACTTAATTCTTGGATATATTTAGATATGTCTCTTAACTCGTATCATCGAGAGTTAGATCTCCGTTTTAGAATATTACTCGGTTAATCATGGCTGGACACACATTCGATTTAGTTCTCGCGCAATAAATACCATAAATCTCAAAATCAACGACGTGATGGTGTACCAATATCCGGTCATAATTTAGTCGTACTTACAATATCGTATTATTTATGTACATATGTCGAACTTAGGCGATAGAGATGAGAGGATATTTCGCAGAAGTGTTCGCGAGACCCCGAAATAGTTATGGGATCACATTTATGAGATATTATGGATACGCATTTTGTCACACACACATATACGTACGGCGTACGGGTGCGGTTTCGATGGCCGATTTCCGGCGCGGGTCCCCGATCGAAAAACTTACGAGACAATGGACCATTCGTCCATCGGCGGAGACAAATGGTCCGCGTGTAATGGCACGAGCGAGAGAAAAAAGAACATATAAGATCGAGGCGAAACGGAAGAGTCCCTCTCCTTCTTCTACCCCTGTGACGCACAAACGATCACTTGCGATTATTATCCATGGGAAAGTAATGCTAACCGAATCGATAGTCGCCTGGTCGAACCGGACTTCCGGTTGCATTTCGCTCGAGGCTATGTCGTTACGATCTACGCTTCGATCTAATTTCCAAATATGGAATTAAAGTGTTTCCTTTTTTTTTTTTTTTTTTTTTTTTATAAAAGATGTAGATATTGTAAGAGATACTTATGTCAAATTTGATAAAATTTTGCTATTTGTCACCAATTAATATATGTATGTGCGAAATATATATAAGTTATGGAGAAAATTAAGTGAAATAAAACAAGATTTTTTGTTAAGTAAAATAAAAGCACGTTTTCAAGATAAATGCAATTTCTGATCATGGTTTTATTCAATTTTATAATTATAGGATTAGAAGACGCGTCTTTCTTATAATTTCACTAAAAAAATACTGATATACAATATACGCATATATTCTTTTCTATAAATATTATTCAATTTAAAATATATAAACAATAGAAAGAAAAGAACTTAATTTTAATGAACGCGATCAGAAAAATAATAATCAAAATCTAAACAGATTAATTAAAAGAAGCGCGACACAAGACTTGAAAAATTTAGTATAACATAATGATACAACTGTTTTATAAGAAAATAAACCTGGAGCAATTTCGAATGTAAATTATATATCTCAAATCCTTAAAAGAACAGGTAAGACACAGAGAGAATTTTCTCTTAGAATTTACTCTGAAAATCATGGTAATCGTGAGACAATATGATATTGGAAGAATTTTATAAGTTTCTCTGATTAATATTTACAATAAAAATATTATATTTATTACAATAAAATATAAAATATGTTTGATTAATTTTATTATGTACATAATTAATATTTTTTATTATGGTAAAAATTAATCGCAGAAACTCTTATAAGATGCTTTCAATGCCATATATTGTCCTACGATTACCATGATTTTCAGAATAAATTCTAAGAGAAATTTCTCTCCGTGTATTCTTCAATTATGAAAATACCTCGAGAAGATCCTAGCGAGCGAGGTTCCCAATTGAGTTCGCAAAGTGTCTCACTTGTACGGCCAACTGACAATAAGAAGATGATGTCGTCGGTTGGAGGAGGCCAGATGTCGCGTAAGGATTCAGAATCCGCCGGTCCATTCACAGCAGCTCCCGTGGCGCAGCGCACCTTGCTCGAAACAACGTCGACCTCCGAGGACTAAGGAAATCCGATACACACCAGCACGGTACCCGGAGAGAGAGATGTGCGCTACCCTACTCATCCATATTCCGGCTCGCTCCAATTCCATTAAACAACTGACAACCTCGAAGTAGAGCTCGGCCTTCGTGTGCCGCGAGTATCGTAAACGTTGTAATTCCTGCCATCGATTACATCGATTGATGTGTACTGCTTATCTTCGATAGCGGCTTAAAAACGTGCGATCAGTGAAGCATTCTATGTCATCGAGACATCTTGCAAGTTATTTATCGTATCATGCGTTTGAAATTTCCTCGTAACGTTTTTTTTTTTTTTTAGTAACGAGAAGATTGAAACCGATAATTTCCAATAAATAAACGCATGTATTTTTTTATTGATTAGTTGAATTTAAATATTGAAATCAAACACTGAAAAAATACTGTTGATTCAATTAAACGTCGACGTTACGGGCTGCCATCAACATATGCAGTTGATTCATCAGTATTTTGTTAATTCAATGACATTATTAATCAAATCAAGATGTCATGCTTTTGTTTATACTAATATACTGTTGAATCAACTGCATATGTTGATGGCAGTTCGTGACGTCGCGTTTAATTGAATCAACAGCATTTTTTTCTCAGTGAAGAATTAAAGATTAACAAATTAAATATTATTTTTTCGTTTTCGCATAATAGGAGTTGCGTTGATTTAATTTATCTCCGGCATAAGATGCTTTGCACCGATCCGAGGCGCGACTTTTCTGACGTTCGTCGAAAGCTTTCATGTCGGCGTTCAATTCCTCGTACGGCTCCGTCACCGTATCAGCTAGATTCTCGCAACTATAGGATCGTTCGAAAGAAGAAATGATCTCCAACAGTCTTTCGTAAATCATTTCGATAAATCATACATCATACCTGATTGTTTTCTGCATATGACAGGGTCGACACTTTTTATCGGCTGCGAACGCAGCTTTATCCAGACCGAGTTGCTGGAAGACTTTCAATCCTTTGCGCCAAATATCCTTCTCCTTTATAGCTTCTTCTAAGCTCGAAGCTGCCGATTCTGCTTCCGATGATTCATGTACCTCCCCCAATGTACCTTTACGACGAAATATTTTTTTTGTTAGTTTATGTTCTTGATTAATTATTCGTTCAATTATCATTAAAATGCATTTGACATATAAAACATCTGTGTAAATGTTTAACGAAATTTTTGATATATAATTTTTGCACAAGAGATTATATCCAATACAACACACACATACATATCTTATTAATTTATATATATATATACATATATATACAATAAGTTTGTATCTTAAAATATTCTCATAAAATGTAAGGAAGAAAGATGTACTTTAATTTAGAATCACGATTTTATATTATATATATGTATAATATTATATATATATATATATATATATATATATATATATATATATATATATATATATATATATATAATATATATATATATATATATATATATATATAAAATACTTTTTTGCTTACATTTTATGATAATATTTTAAGATACAAACTTATTGTGCCGCATTAAATACTTATTTTTCACAAATTATGCAAGATATAACAATGAAACAAAAAATAGAAACGCTCTTGCCGAATGTATATCATAACCCAATATATATATATAGATATATATATATATATACATTTTGTCTCGTACCTTTATGGGGTTGCAAGCAATTCTGGCTGTCCAAAAACTTCCAGAACGCTTTCACCTTCTCCTGTCGACTTTCGCTGTCTTCTCTAACAAATACAAATTCCATACAAGCTGGTTTTTCTCTCGAACCCATGTTGAAATCGCGTAAAAGCGCGATATGTGGCGATGCGTAACGGTACAATTTGATATAACTCTTCCCTCGACGTCACTTCCGCTCGTGCCAGTGCAGCCACACGTGTAAAGTGAACATCTAGTAATATCGAATATTGAATCTAGTTACAATCGCTACTCGACCCTCGACCAATCAAATATTTTCAGTCTTTCGATAGCATTTGGCGCCAAATTCAAAATTTCCATCCGCAATTTATGTATTTTACGAATTAATAAATAATAAAAATAAAAAGGGTGAATAATACTTTTCTGTCTCAAATCTCGTCTGTTTTTGTTCGTAAATATTTAGCAATATAGATCGAAGCCAGGATGAATTATAATTATAAGAATTAGGGGCTAGTTTGATCATCTTCGATTATTTTAATTGACCAAAGCTTAAAACTAACCAATAACCTTATTCAATGTAAGCAGGGTTAGATAAAGTTAAATCAAAAGTTTATTTTTTAAAATATTATTTATACAACATAAAATTTCGTTTGTTAATTCTTTTAAAATTTGTAATAACAAACAAAGAAATTGTAATTTTAATTTTTTATTTTTATTTTTATTTTTTATTTTATTTTATTTTTATTTTCCTATTTTGTGGTAATTACAATTTATGACAAAGAATGAACATAAAAATTAATAATACTTTAATTTAAAAATAATAAGTATATTATAACTTATAAAAAAACAAAAATAGTATTCAGAGATAAAAATAAAATTAAATTATTATACCTTTTTTAATTAAAACAACTTTTAACTAATATAACCCTATAAAATATATGTCTGTGCTTTTGAAAATTTAATCGGCCGGAGTTTATCGAAGATGGCGAAGCTGGGCCCTTTTAATACGAAGAAACTGAACCTTACGATAATTTGAAGATCCGCAGTGACCATATCGTAATTGCAAAAATTCGAATTTCCTGGACGTTCTCCGATCGAGCGCCGAGACTGGATGACAGATGATGTCATTGCCCCGAGTGGTTCAGCGCGCACCGCTGACGCGCAGCCTCTCAAGATGGCCGTCACGTACATCTGATCGGAGGTGTGTGTGCGAAATTCGACGCCGATTTGACGTGATAAGGATATCGAGCCGTGCACGGCGCCCCACGATGGCACGATGATCGCGCGTTAAGTCAATTAATTTCGGCATCGGTATCGATGTGGACCGTCCCCTGGGTGCCGTCGTGTCGATGGTTGTTCCTGTCCCCGCGGCCGCCGGCGGCTCGCACTGAATCATGTTCAGCAAGAAACTTCATGTGGACGTCAAGAAGTCGACGCTCAAGGTGCAGGATGTCAAGAAGGACAGCGGGACTAGGTTGAAGCACCTCAAGATCGTGCTAGGTGAGGAATCTGGCCTCTCTGCTCCCGGAGACTGTATTCCAACTTGGCGAGGAATCTTGAGGGAGGACGGCTGTATATTGTGTGTGATGTGTGAGAGCTGACCTTTAGTTAGTTTACTCCCACACACGCATACTCTGACTTCTTAAAGCGGAGTTTAATGATGTTTCCCATGCGAAGAAGCGTCTGTTCTCGTTTGACTTTGTATTGTGTTTCTCTAACAAGTTTGACTTCTTACTCCTTACGCTTATCTGAATCTGGAGGAGTAAACAATATTGCTTTTTCGTTGCTGAAAGGGAAATATAGTTTTGCTTATTAATGTGATTCATTTTTAAGGATGACACAGTGCAAAATATTGATGTTGTTAAAATAGAGTATTTTCATTTATCATTAAGTAACAATACCAAGAATTCGATACCAAGAATTTTAAATCTTTTTCTAAATGCAAAAGTATCATCACAATCATTAAAATATATTGCGCACATGTATTTTTCATGTTTATCAAAAAAATGTGCGTATTTTATACACATCTTCCAATTGCAAAATGTACTTCATATAATATACTTAATAATTTTAAAAATGAAAACATAAATATATTTATTCTATTCAGATTTTTTCAAAAAAATTATAAAATTACAACTAGCATGTTATTATTATACTTTATATTACTTTATTCTTATTTAATATGGATAAAATGTGTTTTACATCATATTACTTGTTGCATGTCCTAGTTAAAAGGATTTATGCAGTTATAGAATTGTGGTCTCGCAATATTATAAAAGATAGTCAGTATCTAATCACCAAACCGCATGACCACATTAACCAACCTCTATGGCCTCCATCTCCAGCTAAAGTTACATTGTTACTAGTTTCATATATCTTTATATATGGAATTATATAAATACAAGTTTCATATATCTAGATATTTCTCTTTATTTCATTTTTAAGTTCGCTGATAGAAATTGCTTGTAGTTTTAAATTAGTTTTACGTACATCTTTTTATAGATATTGTAAAACTTTTATTCTATATCACAACAAATATTTCTATTCTATTATCTATTTTCACTTTTATTATTTCAATTACATCTGAAATATCAAAATATATAATTATGCCACTCCCATCTGTTCTTCTCATAATACATATGTATATAAGGAAAAAGAAAAGAAGCTCTGCTATATAAGCACAGGTGGCTAAGACCAGTTATGATGTAATAGGATTTCTACACTTCTCTATATAAGACATATGTGTCATGAGAAAAAGAACAATCTTCTTTATTTTATTTCTATTCAATTAATTTAAATTATATCTTTAAATATTATAATATTTTGTACACGCATGCATAATAATATATGTTTTTATATTGAAGAAAATGTGGACACTGACGAGGCAAAGGGATTTTTTGAGGGGAACTTCAGCCATGTGTACTTCATCTTGTACGATAGTTTCGTATCTGCTGAAGCAAATCTTCGGCAACGCGGTAAGTTGAAGATTGAAAATTGATACTAAAATAATATAAGTACTAAATAAAGCTGCCTCTTACTGCTATATAACTTTGAAAAGTTTCATACTAAGTAATATATACATCGCATAATTATATTACATATAACTCTTAACTATATAACATACCTCTCATTGCTTTTAAAATTATAATAACTTTTCTTTTATTAAACGCGATATTCACACATTATTAGTTTATTATCATCTCTTTCATTTCTTTTCATTCTGCTGCCAGAGCTTTCCTTCCATATCGGTAAGTCATATTATATTACTCTAGTTTAAGAAATTTTATTACAATCAATTATTTTTTTAATTTATAATTTTCGTTGGATCGAGTTATACAAAAATTTATGCAAACAATTCTTACATTGACTATTTTATTTATATGATATTTACTATTCTTTAAATATTCTTCAAATATTAAAATTATTTATATAATATTTACTATTTTTCAAATATTCTTTTTATATAGTATAATTTGAAGATAGATATTTAACTATTTTTTCTTTATAGTGCATAAGACACACAGGGAGGAATTGGAACAAGTATTGCAGCTTTTGGAAAAAGTGTTAACTCTTCTTCCCGAGCTGCTCAACAGACGATGGCAGTGTCATAGTTTAGCACGGATTCTGCAGAAACTCTTGCATCCTGGTAACAGTTGGAAACTTCGTAGACAAGCCATAAGGTACATAGCAATTGAGGTTTTTAAAGCTCAATGCATATTACATATATATTTATTTAAAACGATATATTTATATATGATTAAATGTTTTAGGTACTTTATTTTATGGTATCAGGCCCTTGGCGAAAATGCTCCCGAGCATATACATCAGATGTTTGCCAGTTTGGTGCCTGGATTTCCGCCGCATCAAGCGTCGCCTTATAAATACGACCGTAAAACAGAAGGGAAGAAAGAAAAAGTCGTGAAAGCAGCTAATTCCGAAGAAAAAGACAAGAGAGAATTCTATGATACGCAACTTGGACAGAGTACTTTTCATGATGGATCTAATCAATGTCCCGTCAGCCAAGTTGACGGCGGGCCTATCTTACCACCGCAAAGTGGAGAAAAGCCGCTCGATAATGAGACTGTTAGATTTTTGGAAGCATTACTTGAATTTATGGTTACTCAGGTATATATGTATATATATATATAATTTACTTTAGATTACTCGTTTTGTCATTTTTTACGCATATTACCGATATAATTTGTAAATATCAATTTTATTAAATTTTTAAATAATTCAATAATTAAATATAAAATTATTTAAAAATTAATTATTAATAATTTCGTTTATTAATTACAGGTAGTGAAAATAGAATGGCGAGATAAATCTACGCGGCAATACAAAACTTTTCAATTTTTATTAGAACGTTTTAAAATCACCTATCTTCGTCACATTTGTCCGGAATTTGATGACAACTTTTCACTTTACAAACCTAATCTGGAATTACCTACAATGCGAAAACCGATGAATCAAAATCAGAATAACTATATGCTCTGTAAAGTCGCTGTAATCAAATGGATCGCAAGCTTCACACATGTCGCTAGAAAAGATGGACTTTTTGCCCATCTGTCACAAAGGTAATCTTATTTATTAATATATCTTATATTTTCGTGGGTAATTTTAATTCTTATCGAAATCGTTTATCTCTAGCACAACGCCGAATGAGGAAAATGCCGAGTCGGAATTACGCCGTGTGTCTGTTACTCAAAATTCCACAGACTCGAATCTACTGTCACCAGAATCGTCTATGTCCCAGCAAGATAGTCAAAGTCAGGAAGACAGTGCCGTTTCAGCGATCATGTTAGTCAGAGAGGTTTTATATGGGAATAGAGATAATGTAAACTTTGTACACGAATTGTACAGACAGGCATTTCTTCTGGATTTTAATCATGCGGGAGCCATAAGAAAAGCTATTGCCGTTTATAAAGATTGGATTCAAATGAATGTGAGTTCTGCGATTGCTATGTAAAATTATTTTACCAGATGTATTATGTTTGTGCGTATAAATGATTTTATCTTGACATATTTTTGTAGGAAATTCCTCCGTTCATGTTGGAGCCTTTGGACGGTCATAAGGATCGGGACTCGGAGGAAAGTCAGAGAAAAGATGCTAATGAGACGGAGAAGAGTCCTTCCGAAAGTTATCGGCAGACGAGATTAAGAAATGACTCTTATCTTGGCGCTATACATCGAGAGAATTTATTCATTAGAGCAGGCTTGCAGAATGTCTTGCAAATTTTCATTACTCAAGCGTCAAATGTATTTTTCCTGGAAAATTCGGGACCTAATGCATCTCCAACATTACTCGAGGAACAAACGGACAGTTGTAAAAGAGTCTTGAATGTATATCGATACGTTGTTATGCACTCTAGACTGGAACCAGCAACTTGGGAACAGTTACTCAGGTATATTCGCGATTTATTTATTATTCGTCTTCTTTTTACGTTTCACACTTATCCGCAATGATTTATTTCGATTTCTTGCTTCTATCAGAGTGTTACTGCAAATTACATCACTCGTATTGAGCGAAAAATCGTCTCGTCGCAAACATCAAGAAACTATCGGCGGAAAGCTTGCTCCTGCGATATTTCAAACTTTAATCGTTACATGGATCAAGGCTAACTTAAACGTTGTTATTTCTACCCAACTGTGGGACCAGTTTCTAGAAGTGTTAACGTCGTTAACACAATGGGAAGATCTAATTCGAGAGTGGGCGGTAAGTGTGACAAATATCTCGCGAATTCTGATTCATGCTTGTGAGAAATAATGTAATTTTCCTTGTTTTAATATATAATTTTGTATAGAAAACGCTGGACACGCTAACGAGGGTATTAGCACGACACGTGTATAACTTGGATTTGAACGATTTACCTTTGGACAGACTCAGCGAACAAAAATCAAAGAAGCGACGCGGAGTCGGAAGTCGCGCTGCATCGACGGGAAGCGTTCAGCCACCTCGAAAGGGTAGTGTCGATCAAGAGAACAATGCCGTGCCGAAGGAAAGCGTCACAGGTACAGAAAATATAAGTATACATATAAAAAGACGTGTGCAGATTATTAGAAACATATTTGTTGAAATTATACTTTACAGTTTTTTGTGTTTTTTAATAGACACATTTATATTTAAGTTTCTTGCAAAAGACTTTTTTATAATTTCTTGACTTAGTCATTTTATAATTTCTTGAGTTTTGGAGAAGAAAAATGATGATGATTTTTACTGATGTCTATTCAGATTATAAAATTCAAACATTTTTACTGTTTTAATCATTTATTTGAGGAAATAAACCTTAATTATAACATACAAAATACTCAAAATTAGATTTATTATTATGGTCAAAATTAAATTTTAATAAATAAATAAATAAATTATATTTTAATTAATAGATTTTTCTTAAAGATTAAAATTCAATTAAAATTAAAAATAAATTATTGTCCAGCATACATGATTCAAAATGAATTTTTATCGCTAAAAAGATGTTTCCAAATATAATCTACAGATCAAAAAAATTATAAAGAAATCTTTAAAAAAACGTAAAAAATATAACTGAAGTAATCTCAACATAAAAATATGTTTGAGTCTAATCTGCACACGTCTGTATGTTATGTTATACATTTTTTTTATTCTTATTGCGCAAGAAACTTAACAAAAGAAACTCTTTTATCAGATCACCCGTTGCGCGACCTGAGGAAGGTGCGTCCGCTACCTCGCAGCGCGAGCGACAACACTATATATGCCAAGGTGGCTCGTACGAAATTGCACACAAGACAACGTACGCATACGATGCACAGTGGCATTCCTGGTAGGTAAAAATAAGGGTGATTAAGGCATTTAGTTTTTTACTTTTTATTTTTCGAGATTCTATGATATATGGCGAAAAATTACATCTCTTCTTTGCCCTCTGTGATGTTGCTGTGTGACAGTGTGCGCAGTTTATTTATAACCGTGTCCCTTTCTTTCTTTCTTTCGCTTTGACGCTGACCGTGCCGAGTTAAAAATAACTTGGTCTGGTACCATAACAAGTCGGACCCAGCAGATAGACGAAACAGTGATCTCGCATCGTTCTTACTCATAGATATATTACATTTGTAACTCCAACGCCCATCGTCGTCGCTTGTTCTAATATTCAATCGCGACATGCCGTTCATAAGATTGATTTTATTAACTAAACGAAACTTATCGAGTACATCTTCGCAGTGTCTGTGTCCTACTCTTGTCTGATTAAGTACGAACAATTTCCACACATGCAGTACTCCCCCTATCGATAGAACAAGATATGGCGCGGTTATTGACAACAAGCAGCTCGTCCTCAGCGACCGGTGGTCGGAAGATGCCCAGCAGACGTGCCAAATCTTTGGATAGCATTGTTATAGTCGATAGCGAGCCACCATCGCCTCGCTGTCCATCGCCAACACCCAGCAGCGGCGTCGACAGCAACAAAGATAGCCCTATACAGATAGAAAATATTGATGGTAGCAGTATCGGTATGTATGGTACATCATTGTATCTAATATTTATACGAGACAAACGAACGTACGCAAGTTTGTTTTATAAAGTGTTTCCAAACATTTTCAAAAAATTGTTACATGTCTGTCTTACATTTAATAACCACTTTGTAACATCTCATATTAATATCGAATGTTTTTTTTATAATTAACAATATATTACGCTTTGATGATCACTCGTGCAGTCAAAGATAAAAATTCTGAATGGTACTGAAGCATCATCAAAATATTTTTTTTATCAAAGCCTCTGCTTTTCAAATAATATATGGTTTTCTGCTTTATGGGGTTTATACTTTATTGAATTAAATATGTTGAGCTTGTAACAATTTTTTTATCGCACTACTTTAAAAAATATAAAGCTTAATTGTTATAGCAATTTCATAATCTATAAATAATGAATTATCAATTTAATATTTGATTAAGTCTAGATTTTGTACATATTTACATAACTGAAGTTTTGATACATTAATTACTGTTCCACAGATACAAACGATGCATCTGAGAGAAGGTCAGTTATGGCAGGCGGAGGAGTACGTGGATGGTTACCAGATGTGGCTGTCGTTTTATGGCGACGTATGCTATCGGCCCTGGGAGATGTCAATAACATTCAAGATCCTGTTTTGCATGGTCAGGTGATGGATTATCTCGTGCAACTTACACAAACATTAATTAAGGTAAGGGAAAGAATTCCATCTACTTTAAAATATTAAATAATTTAAAATAATTGCATTAATAAATTACTCCTATTTAGATACGTTTAAACCAAGGTGTGTCTGGGGATAATCAAGCAACACCTCCTGCACCAGAATTGATCCCACCTTTAACTGTCATTGCACCTTGGTGCTTCAAGGTATGTGTATATATACATATACATAATTATATATATATAATTAGATTTTGAGATATACTATATATATATATATATATATATATATATAAATGTAATTTTATATATGTAAAATTATAAGATATAACACAACGGAATCAATGTTTATACATATTTTTTGCAGGCTATTCAACTTCCCGAAAAATACGAAAGTGGCAAATTGGCCGCATATCGTCTCATATGTCTCTTAACTGTGCAGCCGTTGGATATCAGTCTACCAAAACAGCATCTTACGCTCTTTTATCGCGCCGTTCACAGCGGAATCGCCAGTAATGACGATAAAGTGCTGCACGTACTCGTCAAGTACACAGGACCCAGATTATTTAGTCTGAATCTACCTGGATCGAGTCTTTTAATTCTCGACTATATACACGCTGCGAATGTGATACTTAGCAGTCAAGACATCGAGGTATTAAACTTTGATTTAATTTTCTTTCTCTGAATTATAATAAGAAATAATCTAACATTTATATATGTTTTACAATTTTTTTCAGGCACCGAGGAGAGAAGCTGTTTCTATCATCGGCTCGTTATTATCTTTACCCGTTTCAACTGTCAAACTACCCATGTTACAACCGAATGGGCCTGACATTGTAACTATGACGTGTCCAGAAGCAAAAGTAATGTTCTATTATTGTGCATAATGAAACTACTTGTCAAAAATCATCAAATTTTTATGTAATTTTATGCCTATTTTCAGGAGCATATTGTAACGATACTTTTGCGAAGCTGTCGACGAGAACCCACCGGAATTGCGAGATGCCTGGCTCTATCGAGTATCGCGATGTTTGCATATAAAGAACTGTCCTACAAGACGCAACATCCAAGAGTTCCAGAGGCTGTCACAGTCCTTCTTCTTGCACTTAGAGTAAGTTGTAAATTTTTTTTATGTTACAAAATTATACATTTTTATTAAATGTCTTTGTGTAATACGATTATATGAAATCGCAAGAATAGCTAAAAATGCACTGATTTTAACAAAGCCTGTAGAACTTTGAATATATAGAGCATGATGTAGAAAAGTTTTTATTCGATTTTAGTTTGTAATTTAATTTATTTGACAATATGCACTATTGTTTTGAATTAAACAACAGTATATGAGATACACACCACTGCTATTTATTTATATATAATGTAAATGTTTATCGGTTTAAAAATAAGACCTATTTAACATCTTTGTGCTAAGCTAAGCAGGTGTTGGAATATTAATAGTAAGATAAAAGCGAATATTTCTTTCATTGAGTATTGTTGGCAGCAAATGCAAGGGGCGAAGCGTCGCAGAGCTGGTTTCTGTTTTCCTCTGATGGATCAGGTAGTCCTACCTATTTTTTTTCTCAATGTAGATGTGTTGGCCATTTATTATGTGATGTTCTACAGTTTCGGACTGATACCTGCATCTTATGAGGATATTGTTGATTCTGCATGGCCTACTCTTATGTGTGTATGTGTGAAATAATAAAACTGTTTCAGTCTGCAATGGTACCTTTCTACCTTGACTTCTGTACATCTGCTAATGAGCAAATCTTCATGTTACTAACTCGTTGATGAATTATACGAAACATAATCTTTGTTTGTCAGCAATTGATCCATATTTAATAATTATATTTGTTTTCTGTTTTCAGGCTTCGCACGTTACGGTTGCGCAGGTTGCGTGCGATTCTTTGTTACTTCTCTGCGATAAAGCCGATGTGCTGCTAGAATTGTATCCTAATGTGCCATCTAAGATAATACAGGTGAACAAAAATGAAGTTAATACACACTCTATATTAAGAAAGATTTAACTTTATTGGATTAAAAGAATAACGAGAATTTTTTATCGTTTGATAGATCTTGTCGGATACACTTGGACGAATGACAACGCGTGAAAGACGCGGACCACTGACAGTGTCGATGCTATTTTGCTTGGGCGAATGGGCTATGCACTTAGGACCGACAGTATTACTACAGGTGTTCCAAGGGAAACCTCTTCTGATGACCTTATTTACAGTTAGTAAATCATGTGCTTTCTTATATTCATTATTTTAAAAGACATGTAAAATCGATTACTCAATTGTATTGAAGTTTTTAAACACTATTTTTTATTATTTACATATTATTCCGCGTTATAAAAAGCGGAGCTGTCTCAAACACCATCACATTGTTTGACAGCTGTTTTATAGTTTGCTTCATTTTTGCGTAAAACGTTTAAACTTTGAATTAAAAAATTAAGACCTCTATAAGTCCTACGATTTCACTCTGGGTACCTATAATATATTATTTAAAACATATTTTAATTTTTAAATTTTATTGTAAAATTTAACTAAATTTTTTTTGTTGTATGTGTAGGTGTTAAACGCCATAGTGCAAAATAAAATTGGAAAGGAATTTATGAAAACTACGAGGAGTAATCCAGAGGACGATGATGATTTTGATCCTAACATTACATTAGATAATTTGGATGCGTCCTCCTCAAAATCGCCTCACAAAGGAAATATTCAGTCTGTACAATTAGCAGCGAAAATGGTAAGCTGTTGTCTTGTAATCTATGTATGCTTAAGTATGTGTATATAATTTACGCGATATTTTAAACACACACAGGTAATGATGCATTTAATTAATCATCTGGGACACTTTCCGATGGGTATCGGAGCGGCGCGTCTCTCATCGCTGGTCGTCGAGCTGGACGACGTTCCTGGAATCGACGGGGACGAATTGTCATCCGCTATTTTTCAAGCACCTAATATACAGCTATTGATGCTCTCTAACTCGATCATAATGTCGCTGGTAGAACTGGCGGCCCTGGATGCACCCGGTGGAGGAGTCACGGCCGGTTTGACGACAGCGCCTTCCTTGGTCAGAGTTTTGTTGCGCGATCTGGCTGGAAAAGCTTCCTGGGACAGCTCGATCTTGTATAGCCAGCCCTTTGTCGAGGATGATCTACCGTTACCATTTGCGAAGCCTGGTAAATTTATAATTTATTTATACGCATTGGTATTTATTTTTGGATACAAAAATATAACATTGTCTATTAACGATTCATTTCAGTTGAGTGGAACGCAAAATTACATACGGACGACTTGAGCAGCGTCATCACACCTCACAATTGTACACCCAGACATACGATACGACATCGTGAGCCTCACATATTGCCGACTTTTGCGAATGCTGCGAGCGATATGGACAATTTGGATGATGTAAGTTGTAAAATCAAGTTAATTTATCTCTCGTAATTTAATACAATGATTTGTATTAAATATAATTTCATGTTTTCAGCTCCTTCAATACATAGGGCACACCAGTCCAGAAGTTTTGACTAATCCGGAGGTCGCTCTCAATGCGCCTGCTAATCCACCTCAGGGACATTATCTCGAAAGTGAGACCATCGCGACGATTCTGAATCAAAGAAATGCCGAGCAGGAACACGTGAATAATTGGAGTCAACACATCAGGTTGCGTGTTCTGTTACCATCTCTGCTCCATAGAATTGTCAATCAATCATAATCGGAATAGCTTTTTGTGACACATTAAATTATGTTAAATTTCAATATATCGCAAATTTCAATTTCAGTATGAGCGCATCGGCAGTTAGTCCGCCGTCGTGCCACCCACCTCCGGCGCCGTTTCATCACTGCCGCCTTCTATTCTCGCATCTAGGCCTGTCCGGTTGGGAACTGCGCAAGAGGTTGCATTTGCTGGCGAAAAACGAGAAGCTCGTACGCGAGCTCCGTAATCTCGACAGCCAACGATCCAGAGAGACGCATAAGATAGCGGTGATTTACGTCAGCCAAGGTCAGGAAGACAAGAACTCCATACTAAGCAACGTCACTGCCAGTAAGGAGTACGAGAGTTTCATCGCGAGACTCGCTTGGGAAGTCGAACTGGAATCGCACACTGGTTTCTTCGGTGGTCTGGTGCCCGGGAAAGCGTCCGGCGTTACTGCGCCATATTACGCTACGTCGTTCACCGAGGTTCTCTTCCATGTTGCTACGAGAATGCCGTCGGACAGTCCCGAGAGTTTATTGCAAAAAGTAAAGACTTTTAGAAAGATTTATTTATCAAAAAAAGGAAAAGTATCTCCAAAATATTCGCATAATCCTCGATTTTTTTCAGACGCGACATCTTGGCAATGATGAAATCCACATAGTCTGGTCGGAACACTGGCGAGACTATCGTAGAGACATCATACCCACAGAATTCTGCGACGTTTTGATAGTCATTTATCCGTTGCAGAATAAACTATATCGAATACAGATCTCGCGAAAACCGGAGATTCCGTTTTTCGGACCTCTATTCGATGAGTGCGTAGTGGAGGATAAGGTATTGCCAGGTTTGGTGAGAACGACCGCGTTGGCCGCGAGTAGAGCTAAACGGTCTACACTCACATTATATCAAAATTAGTAAGTTTATCTGTTTATATGTCGCGATATTGCGAAAAAGAGAAAAAAGTAGAATTGAGAGTTATTTTTCATTGTAAATTTCAGTTACGAGGAAAGAGCACGATCCATCGATACCGTAATGAGAAATCACAAAGAACCTACAACGTTTGAGGAGTTTGCAGCTAATGTTTACTCTCCGGTGCAACCACCAAGCCCTTTCAGCGGAACTTCGTCTGTCTCTGGTGTGTAAAAATTTGCATTCTGTCATACATATGTCTTTAAAAGTTATATTAATTTTTTTTTTCATTTCTTTTTTCATTTTTTTTACATCAATATATACATGATATATGTGTCTTTAAAATTTCATGATATAACTTGTAAAGTTATTATTTTTACCGTTATATTGCATCATTATAGGCTCTACAACAAGTGTGCAATCCACAGCATCATCGAACCTCGCGGCAGCACTTATTGATCCGCATCAAGGACGTTCCGGTCTGCGCAGCACTTCGACAGCGAGCAGTGACAATCGTGCGAATAGAGGTGACTAATTCAGTCCACTAACCCCCATCCACCTTGTAACACCATTGGACAAGGTAGTATTATTAGTTATTTTATTATTTCCGTGCTGTCTTTCCACAGCATTCTATCTGACATTGTATTCTACGTCTCTATCTATCTGTTAAGTATACGTTATAATCGTCCTATCGTGATTCGGACAGTAAATGTTCGTAAAAATATCTGTAAATCATGCAGCGGGTTTTAATGTTTGGAAGAAAATATCTTGTAAAATTAAGATATTAACACACGTAACTTTTTTCTCTCTTTTTTTATATAATCCTGAGTCTAATTTTTATGTTATATGCTTTTGCTATGTTGTACTTCTGTGTATGTGTATGCAATAACAATAATAGTAAAGGAGATTGCGAAATTTAATCTGCCGAATATATCGCGTGATGAATTATAAAAATTTATAAAAATTAAATCTCTTTTTTTAACATTTCTCTTAATTCACTCTTTGTTTGGCAGTCTTGCAAAATATATTCAGAGGTAATCTTTCCAATCTATGAGCACTCAAAATAGCATGTTTAAATATATCTTTTCTTTATGTTTATATGTTTCCATATATAATTTTTTAAAATATTGCTTTGGAGGAAAGCATAGAAAATAATGTAAAATAATGATGTTAACGCTGATATTCTTTTTTATTCGATTGCACGCTTAATTTGTCTACCCAATATCTCACAAGCAGCTAAAGTTTTTATGTATTCTCGATTTTGCTTCTTAATTGATAATTTGTATAAAATTATAACTAAAATAATCTTTGCGTTTGTTTTTAGTTTCCGATGGAAGCAGAGTATGGTTTAGTAATGACACCCCCGAGAGCACTACGCTTCACGGAATTTCACCGAGACCCGTAAAAAAGATGTCCTTTAAAACTGGACCAAAGCAGAGAGCTAATACGCAATCCACTCCGCCAGATAGTCCGAGATACAAATAAAAGATCTTTTTCATTCGTATCGGCAAAATTGTGCTGCGCGCTGATTTTTGGTGAAACTCACCGAGCACTTTAAAGGAACTTACCGGGTAAAAATTAAAGTAAGGAATAATTAAACGAGAGGGTATTCCACTGTTAGTATTTCACGCGTAACGTGAATTATAAATATATATCAATCCTTGGCAATTCAATAACTTTTGCCAACTGATATTTTATTCACAGTGGAGAATGAATATCCAATTAGCGTTTTCTGTTTTCCGTCCTTAGGTTTAATTTTTATATTAAATGTACAGATCGTTGTTTATTTGTTACAACGTGAATATTAATTTATTGGATAAAGTAAATATACGATAAATTTATTAAATCATAGGTATGCAATTAAGTATTTCTCGTAAAGACTTATCGATGTCGAGAGATAGCTATTTACATTGTACAGCACATTCTTAAAATTGATTTATTCTACTTCGATATAGCTTCGATAGCTATAATTCTCTGTCTGAAAGAGAAGGGAGGAAAGGTGTTTATCTTAAATTAAAAATAAGCATAGAAATACTAACATTGTCAGAATGCTCTGCGATACTGCTACATGGCCTTGTAATTATCTTATTTATCACAGTATACATATAGAACAACTATTTTATTATTAATTGGCAAGAGATAAATGTGGGAGGATTTACGATTAAATGTTATTCGCGATAAAGCTTGTTAGCTTAAACATTAAAGGGACTAATGTAAATTTAATAATTGCTTTAGCCTGATTTGAAGCAAAACAATAATGATTATTATAATTTGAATGAAATGACAAACAGCAAGATTTGTTTCGTAAAAGAACACTTAAAAGTTATACATTCCATTATCATCTTGTTTTTAATTTACATTTATATTATATAAATTTCATTTATATATAAATTTATACATATATAAATGAATATCTGTGAGCCATTCCATTTTCGAACATTATATTCATAATTCGATGAATGCATCTACTTTTTATATGCTTTATAATGTGGAATCTTTCATTTTATTCGTAATAATATGAAGAGATTGTAATCGCCGAATCATTTTATTTCCATACCAAAGTCAAAGTGCTTGATGTTTTATAATATGAGCGAATATTTTGTATGGTGAGATATGAAATTATAACTACCACAAATCTTCAACTGAGTTATAAGAGAGAGGCGTATATTTGAAATTGAAAGTAAAATTTATTCCATTCATTGAATAAGCAATGACTATTTGTTTTATACGAATCACATTTTCTCTTTCTCTCTCTAATGCAGTGATAATAATCAAAGTATTAATGTTATATCTATTACTATTAACGAACGGCAGACTGCAATACGGGATTATATTGTGGTAACGAGATCGACGCGGTGTTTGAGATGAGATTTTTCTAGAAGTATATACACTTCGCAATGGTAAACTCTGTGTATAATTAGAATTTTTTGACTATTTTGAAGACTATTTCATGAAACACATTCAAAAGTGTAGGTATTAGCAACGAAAATGTAGTTAATAATTACTGATGCGCAGATCATGGCCAAAGCAGCATTATTTTTTCACTAATTTATAATAAGATAGAACAGAGAAACTGTGTGTATGTATTGTATATAAATTGTTAAGCGTATAAAATGATTCCAAAGTCGATTCCGAATGTACGTCATGTTATATATTGCTACATTGCATTATATAATATGATATATTTAATTAAACATATATGCACACAGACACACACACACACACACATACACGATAAACATAAAATTCATTGATTATCATCATGTACATATATATATATATATATATATATATATATATATGTACATGCTTTTACTAATTGTATTTATATTATATAAATATTGTACTTAATACCTTCATTAGTATTGCTACCATTATTTAACTTTTTAAATGAATTGTTCTTAACATCAAAAAATTTTCTTGAATACGTTTGATTTTGGCAGAGTAAGAAATTAGTAAGTGCAAAAGAATAGAAAACAAATGTAAAAAAATTTTTTTCGTTAAATAATGAACTTAATCATTTTTACTTTTTTCAAAAAAAGGGCTGGATATATATATATATAATAAACTTGAGGAGAAGAAAAGCCTAAAAATAAAATATGCCAAGCCTCTTAATTGTTTCTTGTACAAGAATAAAGTTGTACTCTATATCTATATGTAAAAATATTGTGCAAATGTTTACATATATTAAATATTTGTGCGGAATAACATATAACGATCTTATAGAGCATTTCTCCATTTGCGAAGAAACTAATTATTTCCAGAGTGTTAAAAATGAGGCATATTTAAGATAAAATGTCTTACAATGCAATGATTCTATATTGATATAAAACAGAGAAGAGAGAATCAATACTAATATATATTTATTATTTTCTACAGAAAAGCAAGCTAGACTAAATGTATATTTATCTTATAATTATCTTTTTATCAATGTAATTAACATCGTATATTGTATAATAACTTCAGCTGAATTTGTCAGCTTGAAGAACAGTTATGTGTGCATTTTATTCCATATTTGTAACTTAACATAAAAGATTCATAGAATTTGAATTTTGCGGCATCGAGTTATGTACAGCTATTAATATTATACAATTTTTGAGAGAAATACCAAATGATTTTCTTGCACAAATTCTGTAAAACAATCTTGTGCGGTACAGCAATCAATCGCAAATTTGCTTCGATATCTGTACGGCGTTCAAAGGTGTTCAAGAAATGTTATTCTTCTGCCACAGAAATTTGTTGTCCAAAGATATATCTCCGCTAATTATACAATATATTAATTGTACACATTTCTGTAATGGACTGTACATTTTACTGCACAATAAAATTGTGATGAATTACGGCGCGAAAGAGAAATAAGAGAGCGAGAATAAATCCTGATGTCTCTATTTATAAAATATATATAACACGATATTTAAATAAATTAGAAAAAATATAACGTTTTAATTTTATAGCTAAATATATCTGATAAATTGTATGTATATCAAAACCTTATGTAGCATCAATATACTATAAATAGATATTTAGAGATATGAATAAACACGTGATCGATCATTTTTTTTAATGACAAAATGTATAAATATAGATACGAAGAAGAATGATAAATATTTAGCTACATATTCGATTCGCTGTTTTTATATTTAAATGAAAAGTTTATATATATATATATATATATATATATAAATGTAAAATTTTCCTATTGTATTCTAAGAATTTAAGTCGTTTTTTTTTTTTTTTTTATATAAACATAAGCTATCGATAAGAGCAGAAATGTTTATAAAACAAAATGCAAAATACGCGCACTTTGCTTCGTGTAAAAAAATTTTCATATCATGAAAAAACATTAAGGTTTATTCAGACAGACGTGAATGCTAGAAAAAAACCTACGGCTAGAAAAATCCACCAATGACGTGTCTAGCGTAAGGGATGCCATGTTGCGACACTCCTCATGTTCGACACGTGACTGGTTGATTTTTCCGTGTCGAAGACACGTCTACGCGCGAATGCGTAATCGAGCTTAAAAATCGAGTTAAAGTTACGGACGTCGTCCGAGTCGCACGCGCACCCTGTATCGGGCAGTTCGACGATACTTGTCGAAGGTAACGAATGACGGTGACGTCGTGCCGTGGCAACACGTTGCTTCACGAGTGACGAAATATCCGTGTTTATATTGAACATCGGTCGAAGGGTCCACGTTTCGAAAGCACCTGTCACCGTTTGACAGGTGAGAGGCAGGGTACTCCTATTGTAGAGGGAAGCGTATCCCTGGACATTGGGACGAAGATATATTACGTCGTTGCGACAGAACAGGACATCTGATCTCGTCGTGTATAGAATACGACATATATATGTATACGTAAGTGTTTCACGGATCTTAATTTCCTTATTATTAACAACCGCACGAAAACAAAATCAATTATTCTCTTCCCCGTCCGATCCTTAATATTAAGTCCTACTAATATAGACATCCTTTTTTGCAGTTGAAGGAACTCACGAGAATCCTGCCGGTGAATTCTACCAAGTGCGACTTGTATAAGAGGTTAGCTGTTGCATGCAGTGTCAGAGTTAACGTTGAGGTAGAGTCCAACAACGAATGCGCCTATATAACAGGGAAATCGTGGAAATACGTAGGAAAGTATGACGATTTTCGATGACCCGGGGAACACGAGAGCCAAGGGATTACGAATCCGGGAGGCGAAGAATCACGTTAACTAATACCTAATCTGTGCAATAATAAATGTACATTCTCGAGGAAGAGACGATGTGCGGCGTTCCGACACGTGTGTGTTTCATTAAGCTGCCAAAGATTATTGTGTTGTGTTAATCTGTTTCTTTTTCGTGCTGTCAAAAAAAAAAAAAAAAAAAAAAAAAAAAACTAACGGTATATAGACATATCGGGCATATTGTGATGAGTTACACCAACTTCGGGCGAGGAAGGGGCTTAAGGCCACGAGGTACTCGTGGCACCGCGAGTTCCTTCGGTAGAGCCCGATTCCTGCATCCACCCTTTCGACATGTAGGCCCCCTGAGGCCAGGGCGACCCGCGCTATTCATGCCCTGGCAACAGAACAATGTATTTTTTCAGCCCCACTTGTCACGTGGCAACCCGCAGTTCAGACCAGGTGGTAGGAGAAAGAGCTTTTGCAACTACAATGCACGATTTCCAGCCCCCAATAGGCTGCCCGTGCCTCCAGAGCCTTACGAGGAAGCTGTCGTTATTGCACCGGATAACTTGAACAGCCTGCAGATAGAGTATAATCAGACAGATGCTATCCCACAGCAACCCCTGCTTGGTTCTGAAGAGGAGCGGCAGCAGAAGATCTCGGAAACGGCGGATCGTTTGAGACAAAAACTGTCTTCTTTCAGTGGTGAAATGCATAATATTTGGAACCATGATAAGCTACTTTCGTCTACCATTGCCGAAGATGACTGTGAGAACGATGAAAATGTTGTTGCGTTCAAGTATGGAGAACCTGAGCTTGATCCAACTTCTATTGATCCGATGAGAGACACTGGAAAAGTAAATTCTAACAATTCGAGATTTGATAACACACAATATGTATCTAATAATAATAATAATAATAATTCAAGTAGAAATGTAGGAACATTAGGTAAAAATGAAGATGAATCTCGATTAGAAGCGATACCTAACAATCAAATGACAAATTTATCGGATGAGAATGAGTATTTAGAAATGGACAACTGGCTTGAGTCGGTCGATAATTTTCACAATTTAGAACAATCGGATTTACATGATAACAATGTTGAAAGTGGATTATTAGACTCGGATCTTCAATGTCAGTTTAATACACCTGTGGTTAATACTTCGCAAGACTGTTGTGATCAACAGGATATCTCTCAGGGAAACAAACCTCTAACAGATGTTACAGTGATAGAACAAGATGTGTCTAAAAAGCCAACTTTACAGGATATACCGCTCCCAAATTTGACAGGTCAGGATATCTCGCAACACAAAAATGTATTGGAAAGTGAACAAGAACCAATGACCACAAATTTAGAAATTCAAAACAACGTTTTAGAATCCCAGATTCCTACAATAAGTTCAGTTAGTAATAATTGTAATAGTAATAATGCAGCATCATCACAACCAATAGTAACTACTGCATCAGTATTAAATAATGTTACATTGGATAATCAATTGTCGAAGAAAAAGACAAATCCCTTTCATACTGAACCACCAAAACTATCTCGGTATACTAAACAAAGAAAATTGCCTATTGATTTTGATCCAAGTACTCCACCGCCAATACTTACAAAACAGGATCAACCACGTGTTATGCCTTTACGTCCTATAGCTAGTTTACCACCATTGAGACCATTATTTGATCTCACAACACCACCACCAGGTATGAGACCTTTGCTGACATCAACAATATCTCGAGGAACAGAATTTTCTGCATGGAATAATGTCCAAAATCCAGTACCTGCCATTTGTAATAACATAGAAATGCATGCAGAATTAAATCCAAGCGGAGGATTTATATCTCGACCATTACCATTAGAAATGTCCAGTCCAGGTAACGTTTATTTGTCACCTCACATTGATACGATACAGTTTTCTCCATTTTCTTCTATGCCATCAGATAATCCTGCCATCGGTACAAATGTCTCATCGCATCCAATGTTTCAAATGCATACATCTCATAATACCTATACAGTTTCCCCACCGGAACTCTTGCAGCTCTCTGACTGCAATGTGGACAAGGACGACAGTTTAAATGACATGCAAGAAGCTTTAAAATTTGCAAAACAAATGACAAGTGTAACGGAAAGAAGAGACCAAGATTCAAATTCTAAAGTTCTTTGCGAAAGTAATACCACAATTAATAATGTAGAATCTATATCTTTACCTCCAGGAGAACCAAAAAGTAAAAGTAATACATTGAAGAAAACAAAACGAAATGATACACATAGCAAGAAAATAATTCAGGAACCTAAAGTGTTGGACCATCTGTTATCCGAAGAAAGTGTAGTACAAGATACAAATACAAGGTCTACTGAGACATCACTAATGAATGAACAAGAACGTCCTAAAGTGATATTTAATTTAAATAATAAAACGAAAATAGTGAATACTAGAACAGGATGGCGAGAGAGTAGTGAGAAAAGAAATGGCATAATACAACCTGTGGAATCAGAAAAAATGTCTTCAATTTCTAAGAAAAATTTTGAAAGTACATTAAAACGAAGTGAAAAAGAGCGAAAGAATTTAAAAACGAATAATAATAATTCAGGAAATAAACCGTTATCTGAATCAATTGGAAGTCAAAGTACTGTATCGTGTCACAAAAAAATACAAAAAAATGCTCCTACAGAAAAATCTCATTCTAACATTTCGTCGTCGAAAAACGATGCGCAAAAATCAAATTGTGTAGAAAAGAACGAAAGTAGCTGGGAAACATCTTGGAAGAACAAAATCATTAATAAATTTTTGAAAATGAGTAAAAACGACATCTTTAACATGGTGAATAATACTAGTCTTCGAAAGTTTGATGTTATAATGAAACGTCTAGTCAAAGAAAAAAAGTCCACATTATCTTTGGGAATGAGACAGATCGAGGATGAGAAGATGAAACTGTATGATCAGCAGGAGTTTATGAAGCAGTTAAACGCGATGCTAGAGACGGATGCAGTTGTATCTATTACGGATCTATCTACAGAATTTATTCATCACTTGAACGAAGTATTACAACTGGATGTGCAACTGGACAATCATCTTGAATCTGTAGCAGCAGCTTCGAGTAGCCAGAACAATCACTTGGAAGATGCAAATCATGTGTTCAGTCCCGCGACATTGTTTACCGAAGATTGCGCAAATAAAACGGCACCATTAAACTATACAAACCAAGAAAAAAATCCCGAAAGAAACAAAAGCCACATAACAAAAACGGGACACGACAGAGATACGCAGATACAACATACTAGTAGAAATAATGAATTTAATTTGAAAGACGATACGTGTAGTACTGTTGTATCTAATAAATCTAGTATTAGTAGTAAATTGTCGGCTCTACAACATGATCTGGATGATATATTTTCAGAGGTAACGAAGAAAAATCAAACTCCCGCAGCAGTAAAGGAACGGAAGCATTGTAGCGCGAGCCAACGAAATGCAAATAATTTCGATGACGGCGCGATTATGAGGAGCACGGAGAAAGATGCGCTTGTGGAAGATGACAGAGTGCACAAATCGGAGAACTGTGCGCACTGGATTGAAAGATGCAACAGATGGAAGAGAAAGGAACAGGATGATCCGTACGCGTACAGGAATCTTACCAAAGAAGAGTGGGAAGCGAGACATGGAATACGAGCAAACTCGGTCGGATCTTCGTCTTCTCTTACGAAAAAAATTAATAACAACGAAAATTTATCAAACAGAGAACGTATTAGAAAATCTTATCAACGACGCCGTCATTCGTCTGAATCCTCAAAACATACAACAGTTACAAGGCACAGAACCTTGGAAAAAGACAAGCATAAAAAGTCTAGGCGACACAGCGATGACAGAAGACATAGTACAGAATACTTGGCGTATCATGATACTGAAAACAGTAACAGTAGTAGCAACAGCAACACTAGCACCAGCACCAACAGTAGTAGCAGCAACAGCAGTAGTAGCAGTAGCAGCAATGATAGTAGTGGCAATACGGAACCAAATGTTACAAAGCTATTGAGGGCGATAAAGGAAAAAGAGAAGGTTGCCAAGAAAATGTCGTTGAACGAAACGATAAGAGACGAGGTGAACGCCGAGATAGAGCGGGAACGGAAACAGAAGTCGAAGAAATCACGAAAATACAAAAAATGGCGAAAAAGGGAGAAATTACATCATAAGAAGAAAAAGAAACATCAGCAAAGCAAGAAAATAACGAATAGTTCCGAATCTTTGGATAAAACTAACAATGAGGAAGTAACAAGAATGTTGACGGAGAACGAAATTAAGAAAGAAGTCATGGAAAATCAAATTACGCAAGAAGTAATTGTCAAGGAGGAATTGGACATCGGTCAGGAAGAAAATACCAGAGATACCGCTGAATTTGCGAATGCCTCTAATCACGTGATCATGGAAAATAAATCAATGTATTCGCCTCCGGAGTCTCAGAGTAATCTGGAGTCTGCTCTTTTGACACTATCATCGCATGCTGAGGACAGACCGCCAACGGCTTCACCGACGCAACCGAAAACCAAGGCGCAATTAAAACAAATGCCAGAAACGAATGCCGATACGAATGACAACAAAATTTTCTTCAAAATATTTACCAGCATACCAGAGGATTGGGACACGATTAATCCGACGGAATGCTCGGAGAATTTAAATAAATCTTATCAAACCACCGACTGTAATCGAAATGAAACTGAAACTTCACTGCCGATCGACAACTTCGCGAGGGATATAAAACATTGCGGGCATTTATTACACAATGATCCTGAAAATACGATATCTCAACAATCGGAGGGACCAACGTGCGCGTCTAACAAGTCGTTTATCGCTTTTAAAATGAAAGCTGACACTGATATCTTAGCTTCCGCTAATGTATCGAATAAAACAACAATCGTCGCGTCAGATGTGCTTACTGCAGATAAAAAACCTCGAACCTGTAGGAAGATCGACATAAAGACGTATTTTGAGCGCAACATACAACGTCGCATAAACAAGCAAAGAGAAACGAAGAGATCCGCAGAGAATCTTGCAACGTCGACTCAAGATTTATCTCTCACGCCGAAGATCGCCGAGTTGGAATCAACTCCAGTCAACAAATCTACATCCGTATTTGCTACGACGTACGATGGCTCTCTTCAGGATCCACGATTACTTTCGGCAAGAGCTGTTCCTTACGTCATAAATAGCAAAGATAATGATATTGCACAGACGTTGAGAAAAAATGTTAGGCAAAAAGAGAGGCAAACGACGAAGAAATCCAAGGTCCCAAAAATAGCATCGAAACCTGAAGAAGGAAATTCGAACCGTGTTATCGATACTGGCAATGCTGTCGAGCAAATTAATCAGAATACATTGAAAGGTAAATATACACCAACTACTACTAATGCAAGTGCCGATGCTCTATTTAACGTTGTAACAACAACTAAAACCGCATTATCGAAATCTAAGAAAGGCTTAAAAATTGCAGAAAACGTGACGGATAAAAAGTTGCAAGACAAAGTTCCGTCCGATTCTAAAAGATTCCAGAACATTCGGTCGGAAGGAAGTAAAGAGTTGAAGCTGAAGAAGGAAATGTCGAAGGCGCAGAAGAAGAAATCTGCGATAGCAATAAAATCCATCAGTATCGTTTCGACAAAGTATCCCTTGAAGAAGACAACAAAAACGAAGGATGCGAGAGAGATGACTCGAGAGAAGGAAAGCGATGATAAGAAAATGAAAATTGAATGCACCGCGAGTTCTTGCAAAAGTAAGGTAAACAATAGCTACGCAGATATGAAATCGTCAATAATTGTACTGCAAAAGGTTGATAACAATAACGAATTATCGCACAATGTTGATAAGAATGTGAAAGAATTTATTAAAGGAGAAATTATTGGAGAAGACGTAGGCAACATCGAAAGCACCGATTTATCCGAGACTATGCGAAATGAAGAGGATCCTAACGTAGAAAGTGGAAATACAGCGAGTCTTAAGATCACGAATCAAGAAGAACAGAGGGTAGGAGAATTTTCTAATGTCACTTCCGAACTCGATGTACAAGCGGCCTCTATTTCGAGCGATATCATAAAAGCGATGCAAGTGAACGTTTCTACATCAAGTGAGAAATCTAATGCGACGAAAGAGCTTTCGTTGAAGAATTACACGGATCAGATTCAAGTTGAAGAATCGAATAATCAAAATCTTCCTACGATCAAAGAATCAGATGCGATATCTCGATTAAATATTATCAACAAGGTTGAGAAGGATCAAGGGGTGAATGATGTCGAAATGAATGAGAATAAAGAGAACATTGTGGAACCGGTTATGTCGGATTGCATATATAAATCTGTGAGCGCGGACGAAGATTCTTCGTCTAGGAAAACCACGACTGAACTGTCATTGGTGTCGAACGAAAATTCTACGGAGCAGCAGACGGGGAACGGCGTTATCTCTCCCGAAAGCGCGGGTAGTCCGTTCAAAGGCTTCCTTCAAGATAGCATCGAGTTTGAAGAGCCTAAATTCAATCTCGAATTACACAAAATCGACGTCGTTAAGGACAATTTCTTAAATAATGTCAATTGCGCGACACGAATCGACGATCAAGAGGAAACGTCGAAAGAGAAAATGACGAAAGAACGAGATAACTACGAGACATTGGAGCGTCCTTATGCTAATGACATGAGTATCAACGAGAATTTCGACATCGCTTTCGGCAATACTTTACTTGCCTCGAATAAGGAGACAGTCGCGGACAAGAGTGACAAAACCGACTTGACGGCGGACGAAGATCGACGGGCACAAGTCGTGGAAAAGTCTTCGCACGGTGAAATAGTCGAGGATGAAAATATTATCATGAATGTCGGCGACGAAGCAGAAAAACGATTGATGGGCGAGGAGGAGAAATATGCGGAATTAACGATGAAGGAATCCATGTTTATTAATGAGGAGGAGGAGATCAATCAAGATGGAACCGGAACGAAGGATCTCACGAGTAAACTCACGACCACGACCGATCCAAGTTTGTCCGATGCCCTGGACGACGCGGCGATTTCGGACGACGCATTGAGATTACCTGAAAATCAGAACGCGGAGCACCTGAATAATCATAATATATACCTGGAGACGAATATACCCACGGAGAAAATCACTTGCGACAAGTTGCCGGGTTTCGATTCCGACGAACAGCTGGACAACGATATGTTCTACCTGGACGATCGTTTGCAGAGCGCCGCCGCGTTTGATAACAAGGACGAAGCGACCTTCTCCGTTCATCAGGAAACCAGCCCGGCACGGTACGACATTATTCCGTCAGCCATCACCCCGGAAACCACGATGATCGCGGATTTATCGCACGACGACGAGGAGGCGCGATACAAATTCGACTTGAAACGCATCTCGTCAGAGGACAATTCAGATTTACCAGGAACCTCGCAGATTATACTTGATACACCACCGCGAATGTTGAACGTCCCGACCAAAGCTGCCTTGAAGGAGACTACGACAAATCTTTTTTTGAAATCTCTCAACAGTTTGTCGACCAATGAGGGGCCTCAGGGAATGTTGAATGAAAAAGCACAAGGCGAAACAAACAGCTTGACTGACGAAACACCCATGTGGCATGTTGACATACACAGCGCTACAAAAACGCATTCTTTAGACACTCACACTAAAGAGTTTGTAAACATAAACACGATATCGGTGATGCAAAACAGTGCTTTGAATGACAAACGAATTCATACCGATGCCAGTGTTGGTCAGAATAAGATCTCAACAGGTTCCACAGATAAATGCCTACATAGCGGCATACAATGTAATTCAATTGTGGAATTAGAAAAACTCGACGAAATGATGATCGAGAAGACGCGAGAGAGAACGAGAGAGGACGTGTATAAAGATCGAAAGAAGCGAAACGGCATCTTCCACAAATTGAAAGATAAACGACAGATGAAGTATCGATCCGGGAGGCTGAACAGGAACGGTTTGGCGAGAAAGATGAAGAAACAGTTTACTGGCACGAGAGAAACGATCCTGGCTAGAATGCTGGAGATTGATATTGAGATGCACAAGCTGATGACGGAGAAGATGAAGTTGCACGACATATTATTGAATAATACTTCATCTACCGAAAGTACCGCGGTGAATAGGGAAAACGATGCGATTCCCGAGCAGGTTGGAATAGTCCCGACGCAATTAACGTCGCAATTATCGCGAAACGCCAAAACAAATCGTGCCAAACGAAAGAAGCATTCATCGACATCGTCGAAGAACCCGTCGATTAATAAACGAAGGAAGATTATCGCGTCTCGCAGTTCGGAGGACGACGAGATGACGCGTTACACGCAGAAGACGAAGATGCCAGTGATTAGGTGGAAGAAAACGCCGCGATTAGAAGAGACACTCAGCAGACAGGAAAAAGATGTCGAGGAAGAGGAGGATGTTGACAAAACAACGGAGCAGCAGACTTTTGCCAGCAAAGACGCCGACGTCTCTTCGGCCTTGAACGCTAGACCTGAAGACGCGATGATACAGAAAACTGAATCGAACGCGTCCAAAGACGCTACGATTGAGAAACCTGTGTCAAACGTGTCCGAAGATCCTGAGATACAGAAGACCGAAGCGAACGTCACATTGGATCATGACGCGGGAGTGCAGGACACTGCTGGGAAAACCGAATGTGACGTTGCCGATAAATCTTCGAAGCCTGCTTTGACTGGTGTTTTGCATAAAAGTGCGGATAATCGTACGGACGATTCTACTGGACGGGAACACGTGGATGCTGATAAAGACGTTTTCTCAGCACCGAGCAAGGTGCCGAGGGTGAATTGTCAGGTACGTGGCACATCAGAGTCTTTATCCATATATTCCGACGACAGCACGTGGGATTCTCTGGTTCAGAACACCGCGTCGGAAGTGCACGAGAACAGGAATGTAACCGGTCTGGTTTTACTGGACGAGAAACTCAAGGAGGAACAGGCGAGATCGCGAAAGTTGAAGGCGATTGTGCGCAAGAAGAAGAAGCAACAACTGGACAACTACCTGAAGAAAGTCAATAATTTGACGATAGAGGAGGAGGAGCTTCCCCTGTCCAAGCTGTACATCATGAAGCTGCGACAGAAGCGAGATTTGCTCGACTCGCTCAGCCAAAGAAAGGAGGACGGCGTGAACAACGTGGAGATGGATCCGGAAGTATTGAAAAACGTGGAGGAGGTGATAAACGCGGTGGCGGAGAACAGAGTGGAGGATCTATATGAGCCTCAGGCGGCGCGAAGCGTTTCCAATGACATCCCGACGACGTCCCATCTCCTGTCGCAGCCTGAGAAGCATCAGTTTTACGTCGATGTCGAGGCAAATGCCAATTCGGATTGGCCCTCTCGAGAGAAGGAGAATCTGGAGGAGACCGCGGGACAACAGCAGAACAACAACGACGTGTCGGACGGATCGAATCACGTCTTCAAGGTCGTGAATCAGAGTAAGATTCCGTTCTACGACGAACGCAACGTGGAACCTGACAGCAGCATCACGCCCGAAGAGACTCTAATCGAGAGCCATTCCTTGAATTGCCAACCTGTCCCGCCCAAGGATCTTAACAACGTTGCCTCGCGCAATTTCGACATTAAGGTATCTGTGCCTAAGATTTTGATAAAGGACGACTTCAGCCTAGGATTGTTACAGAAATTTAAGAATACGGAGAGCAGCAGTAATGTCATCGGCACCGAGTTAGTCGATTCTACGACGAATGCTGAGAAATCACTGGAGAAAACTGACAAGGATACCTCATCGAGTATTAAGTCGATCCAAGTTGCGGAAGAAGAGAAAAGAGAAGAGAAGAGCGAAACGAATCTGATCGAGAAGGATGGACAGGTGGTGATGAAAGTAGACGTGGTGATGTGCGATAACCAGAATAACGTGAGCAAGTTGCAAAAAGATGAGACAATTAGTATGGTAAAGGGCTACTCTGATACTACCGAGAATGAGGATTCAGGCGACAGTGTCGGATCCAACGATAAGATAGCAATGACGGGTGTAGCATGCGACTCAGATTCCGTCGTGGAAAAAGTCAGTACGGGGCAGAAGAAATCTGATGCCGAGCAACAACCTTCATGCGACGCGAATCTTGCGTCGAAACAAGATTATCGAGATTCCAGGAACATGAATATTAAAGAAAAGAAAAGTAGCAATAATCCTGAAAGCGGTGTATTCGAGGCAATCCTGGATCAGAATACCAGTTCCATGTCGATTGATCGTGCGAGCGAAAAATCTGAAGAATCCAACATGTCCGTCGATCAGAGATCTAGTCTGGAACGCGCAACTGCTTCCGCCTTTTCGTTCGACAAGGTAACCGCGAATAAAGCATTAAAGACCCGTCGAAAATCCGACGTTTTGACTCCTCCGGTACGTAGAAGCACTAGGTGCACCAATGAAAACGTCAAAACAACCAAGGTGAACGAAGTCGACTCCAACTCGAACAGCAGTGAACTAGAACCGAGCTTGATCCACGAGAGAGTGGATCAATCGACGCAACGCAGGAGCAGATCTCCTGCGATCACATGGGCGATGCGCGATGAAAAGATCCTGACCAACGTTAAAAGGAATCGAGCTGCTCAGAAAGCAACTGGTCGAAGGGGATCGAACACCGAAGTTGAAATCAAGACTGAAAGTCGGGCGAAATCGCGTGGTTCCTCCGTGGAATCCGCTACTTCTTCGAGGAACAAGGCCGCGAAGAAGAGAGCGTACACGGATTGGGAAATAAAGAACTGTAAAGTAAGATTAATCGACTGTAAACATACTCTGCTCAAGCAAAATGTTAGTCCGGAGATTTTAGAAGAACTTGGAATAATCGCTATCAATCCTTACGTACCGAGTGATGTGTCTTACCCGCAATGTGCCATCAAGATATGTCAAGATATCGTGATGACTCCTGCTGTAGTTTCCGAGCAAAGTTCTTGCTCTCTTTCGAAGAAATCCTCCAATAAGGAAAATACCGAGATTGAAATCTTGGACGAGAAACCGATGAAAAGCAATGACGATGATTCCGCTTCGATGGAGGTCGACAACCAGAAGGAAGAAACGATGAAAACGCAGTATACAGTCCACACAGGTCCTATTTTAGACATCAAGGTATATAATCTAATAAGTATCTGATTGTATACACTTCTATATAAGACAGACTTAGTGTTAAATAAGTAAATAACTTTTGTTCTCTCTTTATTTTCAGGTCTTTGAGAAATCTTTCCTAGCAGCAAGCGAGGACGGCAAGATATATAGATATAGCCAGAGATCTAACGGAATATTGAACATCTACAAAGGTCACAAATCCGCGGTTACGTGTCTGCATATTTATAAATCGGATATAATACCAGGCTCTAATAAGGAATTGATGTATTCCGGCTCCTTAGACGGCACTTTGCGATGTTACAATATAATGGTAAGAAAATGTTTTGAATGTTATGAACAAACGTTTAATTATTAGAGAGGAGAATTTATTTAAAAAATGCTCTTTTTAGACGGCTGCGTTAATAAAGAATCCAGTGCAGATAAACAGTCCGATTCAGTGCATGGATCAAGCATGGGGAATGATTTTTATCGGGACTAAATCTGGACATGTTTCGCGTTTCCAGATCAAAGTAAAACGTGCTTCTTCTCTTAATTATATATCGATTTAAAACTTTATTTAAATCAGAATTTGAACATTGAATGTAATGAGATATTTGTATGAAAATTATTCTAATAATATTTAATATATTAAATTTATGTTAATATATTCTAATAATATATTAATATTAAAAAGTAATATTAACATATTAAGTTTATATATAAATGCAATTTTTTTTACAGTCTAGTAGCATCAAAGGACATAGTATAGCGTTCTCGGATACGTCCGTTCTTGCGCTTAAAGCGACAAATGAAGGTCCCCGAAGAATTCTCATCGTAGCTGCTCGATGCCAACCGATAACTATACGAGATGCACAGAACGGCTTGTTCCTTCGTACGATTAGCGGCCAAAAGAATCACACGGTTTACAGCTTGATGCGCCATAATAATCTAATCTATTGCGGTACAAGTAGTACGTCGATCAACGTTTTTGATTTCACGGTAAGCGGCGCATGATAGCATTTTTATTGTCTTTCTAGATAAAAATTGAATTGCCATTCATAAAAAAAAACATGATTGCAGACGGGTGAACAAACAATTCAATATGATGCTGGAGTCGGTATCGTATGTATGCGGCTTTCCGGACAATTATTGTTCGCAGGCTGCTACGACGGCAATATCTACGTTTTTGATACAAGGGTAAATATTGCATCGCGAATTTCATAATATAATTTTAATATAATTATAATTTCATAATATAATTAATTGATTACAATTGATCAATCTATGTTATTTATATTTAATTACATCTGTTTATAGAACCACAAATTAGTATGTAGTATACCTGGTCCAGGGAATATGCTATTGAGTATAGAAGTTGTACATAATAAGGTATGTAAGAACTTAAACTTGTTACAACAATTTTTCTCATTTTAATATTTCTTCTTGAATTTTTGTATTGTATATATTTTCCCCTCTCTTTTTTAAAATGATATTAGTATCAATAAAATCTTTATTTTTATTAAATTTTTTTATGGAGTTTTTAATTGAGTGCGTAAAGATAACATGCTGTTACTGCTAAATTACCAATCAAAGTTTCATTCAAATTTTATTATCTTTCAGATTATAGCGGGAAGTAAAGACAAGCGTTTGCATTCGTGGCAAATGCCAACTCAAGTGCGTGCCTTATTGTAAAAGATATCATATATAGCACGCCTAGGAATTCTCTACTTCAAAAATAATTATATTAACTGGCTAATTAGCTAGTTAACAGGCCACAGCGATCGAAAAATAGTAAATGAAACAGAAGACTTTATTTGGCACTGAAGATACGACATAATAAATGTATTTTAACTTTGTCACTATAAATAGTATTTTGCTATTATCACATTTCTCAAATTGCTTTTATTTATATCTTTTATATTTAGTGAATGCTAGATTTAGAAAGAAATGCTAAACAAGAGTTTTACTTATAATTTTTAGAATACAGAGATTATTGTGACAGAAAATATAAAAGCTATTTATAGTGAGAAAGTACACTGGCTGTTGCGAAATTGTTTGTTACCACTTATGTGCGCTGTACGAAAGATATTATACGCAACTTATGTAAAATGTACATTTGTAAAGAATTTAGACTGAACTGAGAATGAAAATTTTACTATGCATGCCTTGCGTTAAAGTATTAGAGAAAGAAAACGTTTATCTTTACTTATATTCGTTGAGATCGTTGTGACACTTAAAATATGCGTAAAATAAAATTTTTGGTTACTAAACATAAAACAGATTAAGCTATGTGTGAAAACTAATTACGCATGATTGAGAATACACGCACTCGATGATTTAGATAAACTGTTATACAAAATACTCTTGTTCATCGTTGTATTTCACAAGAATTATTCTAGTATTCACAAAGATTTATTACTCTGTGTTAATTGTTCCTAAAAAAACTGCATGTCCTTTAAAAAGATCTTTTAAAATTGACAACGTTTTCTTCGATTTTAGTTTGTTACACATTTTTAAGATGTGGAAAAAATACACTACCACACCCTGTAATTTTTGTTTCAACTTTTGCAATAGACATTAATAAACATGTTTATGTATTTAAGAAATCGTACTAAAATGTACGATAAGCCATAATCAATGTGAATCAAAGAAATGTCTATATGTTTTTGTGCATATGTTATACATGGGGAAACGAATAAGAAAAAACTCGTTTCCCTACATTTAATTCTATAATAAATTCTAAAACTTAAGGTTTGAAGTAAATTTATTATTATTAATGAAAGAGATCATTGTTTACGATTATATTACGATATATGAGTATGATGTACTCTAAATATCTCGTATATATGAAATATTTGCTACATATAGATATAAAAATCATGTCGTACAATCTTTTGTCTATGAAAATTAAGAAATGTATATTGTTAGGAAATTACTGCCATTATTTAGATAGTGATTGACCACATTAACTCTTCATTGCAAAAATTTTTAATAGCACGCAATGTAGAGACTTAATTTTTGTTCTCTTAAAGAATGAAGAAGAGAGGATAGATAGAAAGATTAATTTTTTAGTTTTATCAAACAAAACTATATCGCAATAAAAGCTTAAAATTGTAAGTGCAAATTTAATATATTTTTCGTATTTAGAGGAAAGAGAGTGTATATTATATATATGGTGTTCATATTCACGTTGTAAATGTAAATATAATTGATTTAATAAGGAATCTATGAAAATCTTTATATTTTGCTGAAATCATAAGCTATGAATAAAATTACGATTTTAATTGAGGCGTTTAGTTGTTTATTTAATTAAAATAATTACAAAAAATATAGAAAGAACATGAGTATTCTAAAACCTTTATACAATTTTAAAATATTTTTTAACATTTACTAGTGTCAGATATTTAAATAAGAAAGCTTTAGTCCGAATCATTATTAACATTCACTTTTAACTGTTTGATTCAATAAATTTTGCAACTGCACGCCTTAATTAGCGTTGTTTTAATTCGATTGTTGAAATGTGAAACTATATTCATTCTGACAGTAAATCTGTTAAATCAATAATAGTTTGTCCTCTATACAAGTATAAGAGAATTGTGACATGTATATATATATTTACAGTCAGACGATTCGTAGGTAGCATAAAAAGTGAATCGAGACAATCGAGGTAGGGACTTTAAATATAAAAAAGAAATGTGTCTCTGTCTTGGGCCATTTAAATCGGGCAAAACTCTCCTAATGAAAAGTCTCCAAGGAGACGAGATCGACGATGCGACTCATACTGTACCTACCAATGGGATAAATTTATTTACCGTAAAAAATGATACTGGCGAATTCGACATGGTGATCAAAGAAATCGGAGGTAGCATGGCACCGATATGGAAGCATTACTTTGACAAGGTATTCGTAGTCCTCGTCGTAATCCCATAATTGCATACAATAATCGATACAATTATGAAATATTTGCTACGAGACATCATTCGCGTATTGTTGCCAGGTGCATAAGATAATCTTCGTGGTAGATACCAGCAATCTTTGCCAAATAAGCGCAGCGGGTGTATTGTTGTATTCCTTCCTAGTGGAGCCGAGATTACGAAATGTAAAAGTTGCACTCATTTTGAATAAGATGGATGTTTCGTATCGTCAGATGAGAAACGAAGCTCTATTGATGTTGCAATACGCGCGTTTGCAAAGGGAAGTGACGCAGAAGATCACAGTGTTGGAGACCAGCGGAATGACGGGTCAAGGAGTAGAGGATCTACGCAGCTGGTTATTCGATCCGGAAACGCTGAAAAACACACTCAATGCTAATAAATGAGCGACGATTGTATTATATTGTTACGCGTTGAGAAAGAACGTTATCTTAAAATGTCTCGTCTTCATTTTTATTTACACTCGATCTTACAAAGTTATAAATGTATACTATAAATTCGCGGGTTTTTTTGGAGAAGATATATATTAACGCGTGTTGTCATATACAGTCTACGTCTGCGCAGTCTAAAATAAAATTTAACAAAATACTGCTTGTCACCGAGCATGCTAAAAAAACGTGCGATAAATGAGCGACGAAGGAATTTGAATTTTTTACACTTTATCTTAACAGCATCTCTAAAACATTAATAACGTGCATGTATATATTCGGATGTATACGAAAGGATGTAGGAACCGCGAAAGAGAAGATTTATGTTATTACATGCCGTGTTTGTAATGCCGTTAATGTCATTACATGCTACCAATGATAACAAAGATAACTATATAAATATTTGCCTTCCCGCTTAAATAATCTTTTTGAGCCGTTTTTGAGCCGCTTTTTTCTCGCTTATATCTTCTCGTTCTTCCAGATAGTTTTCAAAGACTTGTAATATTGTTTACTTGTATAATAACATTTAATGTATCCTTGTGAGATCCTCTACTATTTTTACAAGATCGTCTACCGTCGATTCCTTTTTCATTCCGCTGCCATCATCAATCTATGGGGAAAAAATATAATGGATTAAGATATTTCTGAAAATTATATAATCTACAAATTATTTATAAATATACACTTGAGAGAGGAAGCATATGTGACTGAATTACCATAAGGCCCATCGCAACTTCCGCCATTTTTTCGTGATTTAAATCGAGGAAAGATTCAATTAGATCCCCGTCTATAAATCCTTCGCATTGCTCAATTTTTAAATCCGTCTTGAAACTCCTCCAGAAATTGTGTTCTATTTTGCCTACACTTTTTATCACGCTGGTTAATTTTTCCTCCAAGTTGCGCAGAAATTCGTAAAACGCAAACGGAATTTGCGTCACAAGACCGATCGCGCCGCTGACAGTTCCAAATAATACGCAACCCTGGGTGGGCGTGCTCGATTCTCCCAAATTCTGCATCACTAATGAACCGTGCCGGAAGACGTTAACCATGTCACCCAGATGAAACTGGCCTACTTCCTGCATCTGCTGTCTCTCATCTTCAGATGTCGCGGCACTAGAAACAATATATATTCGTTAGTTCGCTAAAATTACAAATTTAATTATTTTTGCGCAATAGTAGTACACACACATACCTATCTTTTTGACATATAAAAAGATTGAAACAATTTTCAGCTCCTAGGAAAGTATCGTCATCTAATATTTCAATAGCAGTCATCCAATTAGGATTGTAATCTCTAGCTATCTCCTCGAAACTACCTTCCATAGTTTTGTACTGAAGCAATGTGAGGGATCTCATAAGGTCGCCTACTAGGACAAAATCACTCTTGGTTTTCAAGTAAAGCGCTATAATGTTGTTGAAGTGGCTGCATTCCAATCTAAGCTCCTTCTCCGCGGTCCACTCGAACAGTCGTACTGTACTGTTGATACTCGCCAAAAGTTTGCCATTAAATTCTACCAAAGAATAACAGGAACCTTTGATTTCTTTCTCCGCGACCTGCGTAAGCTTTCCATCGCTCCAGTGATACAACAATATTCTACCCATTTTCGGCTCAGTCTCGTCAGGATTTATAAACGCGGTTCCGACAACGAAATACGAGGTCGGATCCTCGCCCAATCTCGTCGAGATCAACGATAACGCGTACTCTGTCGGCATCAGGGTGTGAGCATGTAGAACTTCAAAGGTGTGCTGGTCGATGATGAGGAGATTGTGAATCTCGATCTCTTGGCCGATCTCGCTGGCTGTGTGTCCGCTGGGTTTGTTGTGCGACGCGATGTGACTGCTGCTGGACGTGGAAGCTGCCTGAGTGGACGCGGAATGCCTGACGATGCTGACGCCGCTGCTCTCTTGCACGTCGACGCGCATCGTGATGACGCCGAAGGTCTGAGAGCTTTCCTGATAAGCGATCCTCCTCGGTGACTCTCCGAGCGGAACCGTTCTTATGTGCAATTTTTGAATTTCGTCGATTGTGCCGATGGTGACGGTGCTGTCTGTCGCTAATGCCAGACTGTCGGGATACGATTCCGCGTTCAAAGAACACATATGATTCACTTCTTTAAGATTAACATTGCTAAAGACAAGCTTATGATTCGAAGAATAAATTACAGTGGGTCTGTCCGAACATGCGAATACATTCGTCGTAGAGAGCGATCGGAAAGTTCGGAGAACCGTGGGTTGCGTACCTAAGGTGACTCTTTTCTTGTCCGAAAGCATACCGCTTTGTTTGTACAGAGTGAAATAATACATGCTGCCGTCACCTAGAGCACAGAGTAAGTACGTGTTGCCTTCGAAACAAGTCATTAAAATAGATCTAGGTATAATTTCGCCTCCGAGAAGTTCCTTATTGATCTCCTCTAAACCGGGCAGAGTCAAGATACGAACAGAGATGTCCGTCCAAAGTCCAACAGCGACAATCTTGGCCTCATTTAGGCCATCCAAAGGAGAAATATCCAAACATGCTACTTCATGCTGCAAGGTAGCAAATCCTTTCGGTACAATCTGATTGCATGAGATTTCCATATAAAACAAATCATTTCCTGTGGCGCAAAGAACTTGGGTGCCATTGCAGGCTACCACACTGATGGTCCGCTTATTTTGTGGTTCCCATTCGGAGACGACCATTTTGCTTTCGTGCGAGATCAATCTGGCTGATGTTGGAGTTATTTGGATAAATAAATCGTTAGTAACGTTGCCCGTATGAAATGTTTGTTCATCTGCGACAAAACCTGGTATATCTGTCTCTTCGACCTCTTCGCCGTTTAATGTCAAAATCCTAGTTTGCCCGACAAACGACAACACCAATGTATTATCAAAGTTACCACCGCCAACTTTAAGTGCCCACATACCTTTAATCCCTGGTAGATCGATACTTGCATGTTCCTGTATACCAATACCGTTTCTAATAATTCGCAGGGAACCTTCTTTAAAAGCACCCGAGCATGTTACCATCTGTCCTTGACCCTGTCTTTCCAGATCTACAACAGCCATATCGACAATAGGTGCCAAATTTGTGAAAGTTTCCATAGGTACACAGTAGGATCCATTTTCATCTGCTTTTGTTATTAATTTGATCAATTGAGAATCACCTAGCCGGCTACCGACATATATTACGCCATTATCTAAATAAGTTATACATTCTGGTATACTGATTTCGCCTAATAACTCAACTTTCAAATCTTTCACCACTTGCGTCCCATCAGGCTTCTTTTCTAGCTCTAGGAACAACATAAACAAATGACCGGCCATATCTCCCAACAAATATCTTAATCCTTGATTATCGACTTTGGCGTAACAAGTGATGGTGCTCTGCTTTATAATTGGTGGTACTACAGCAACATATGTAGTACCATCGTGATATAAAATACTCTCTTGTCCTATTATAATTGCACCACAGATGGGATTAGGTACAGGAATAACCATCATAGCTTCCCGCTCTACGTTATCCTGTTTCCAAGGTATCTTTGAAAATTCTTTTTCCCTCAAGTTGATTTCGTGTGTTTTCACATGTCTGCCATTAATGTCTTGATGAATTAAAATTAAGGTAGGATTGGTGCATCCATGGAGAAAATTTACATCTTGCACTTGTTGTTCGTCCATACGAATGGAAGATGCTTTCAATTCTGGATTATCTTTGTCCAAGGGTATAATCTTAAAGAGACCATCATATAGTCTAAGACCGATTACTCGAGCTTTTGGATCAATAACAGCTTTAATCCCAGTTTCGGAAGCTTTTCCAATACGATCAGCCACATTCCCATGAGCCTTTGTTATAATCTCTATATCTTCTCCTTCGCCCGTACATTCCAAGATCATAGCATTATAACTTGTTGTTAATAAAAATAGAAGATCCTTCTTCTCGTGCTGTCAAAAAATATAAAAATTGTATAAATATTATAGTACACAATTTATTCTCTTATAGTCAAGTAAATTTTTAAGATAATATTCAAGATAATGCTATAATTATATGCAATTTGAATAATATAATTAAATAACATAAATAATAAATTTTACATATTTTTTTCTCTCTCCATCTTTTAGAGAGATAATATTTTTCTATCCATATATTTTCTCTTTTTCTCTATATATTATAATATATAATGCTAAAGAAATAATCTAATTCGCACAAATTACTGAACATTGAAATAATCATGCTATCTATTGTGTCTCTTATTGATCAACGAAACGCTAGATGATATCAGAAAAAACATGATATAAGAAAACACAACCGGTATAAATACACCTTCGAAATCATCATACATAAAGTTAACCTTACCAGCGGCCTGAAGAACTTGATGACTGCTATTTTACCGTAGATGCCGACCTCTTTCAAAGGTCTAAGACCTTCCGGAGTTACAAGGTATATCTCCAAACGTACATTCTTAGCCAGTATCAGATTCAAATCCGTAGGAGAGGTGAAATTACCTTGTAAAGTGGAGTGCAACGGAACGATTACACAGATGCAACATTAGCTTTCGTCTTGTAATTTTTCACAGAATCCACGACTTACCGGTCACGCAGGCAGTGACAGCTGTTGGTTTGTGCGCCGTCACTATGTAATGATGAGACATTGCTTTCATAATATACGGTCTGGTGGACGATAAACACTCTCGTGCATACGAATAAGTTTCTTCAACCAGTTTCAACCGAGCGCTCCCTTTCCACCCTTGCTTGTGTGTTTTTCAATTTATCGCGCCATGAAGTTGGTCACATCTGCCAGATAGTAAACACAACGAGAGGTCCGTTCATTCCGACGTGTTTACATGAAGCCATACATGGAGAGGCTGCCTTACACTTCGGCTGTCTTCGGCCAACTTTCGTCAGTTTCGGTGCACAGATTTTTTGAATTTATCTGTTATCTCTCTTCTTTCGAATTCGAGTTGTTCTCGACGTCCTCCTGTAAGCTGTAAGTTAATTTATTCCTGTAAACAATTTTTGATATCTTAGCGATTGATTTATTTTCCATTGTGAAATCAAACATGGCGAAATTAGTCGAATTAATATAATTAATTAGATGTATAAGTAAAAGTAAAATATGAATTTTCAACTTTGCACATAATAAATTTTATGTGGAAACTTTTATCAGAGTATTATTAAAATTTTTAATTAGTGTATTGTTTAATTTTTACTCTTTTTTATTAGTATATATATATATATATATATATATATATATATTATATATGTAAAGATATTCATATAGATTTTCATTTTTATATGTAAGTAATATTGTAAAATTGAAAAATATATAGACACAGCATTCTTGTGATTCTTATTTGTCTCATATATCTCTATTATGTACAATATATTATAGTTTTTCACATATTTTTAAAAATATATCTGTATAAAAATGATAAAATGTTTCATTAATGTTAAGTCTACTGAAATTTAAAAGTAATTAAAATAGTTCAAATTTTATATGACTATTTCAAATTTTCCAATTTAGTATCTCAATTATTAATAATAAAATCTATATATATTTATTTTTATTTATAACTTACAGAAATATTCTCATTTCATTAAAATGCTTTGATAATTAATACAAATTTAATAATATTAATCATTTTCTTGTAGAATAAATTGAATATTTGTAATATATATATATTGCTATATCATATTCAAGTCAAAATTTAGCTGTGTCCAGTTTCTAATTTGAGGATGAAAACATACATGTGTATCAGAGCAGAACTTAAGATTTATTAAAAATTTTGGAAATTTAAAACATATTTTGTATATTTTACATTTTCAGACCATAAACTAACATTTTATATCTTACTTTCTAAAACTATACAATTGTACAAAGATTTTTAATACATTTCTTTTATAATAATTCTCTCATCACATATTTTCAATATATTACATATAATACATATAATATTTTCAATAAGTCTTAAAGAGAGAATTGTGGCTTTATGTACTCATGCGCATATATGTACATAAGTCCGTGTTAGTTGATGGTCTGTAGACCGTCCATTTATAAACTTAGCATTTGTAATTGGCAGTATGCAAAAGAACAAAAATCAGATTGAAAAATGTAAATAAAGTGCATTGTGTACGATACTAAATTGGAGACAGAAGCAATGCATGATATATGTAAATATTTTTTAAAGCAAATAACAAAATAGGATAAACAGATGCGAAAGAGTAGTTTTGCTATAGATTCCTATTAATCCTACATTTATCATATTGTTATACATATATATATCCATATAATTGTGTATGTACATACACGTCTTAAAGGAAAGAAGTGTCAACTGGTAAATTGCAACAAGAGTAAATAATAGCTTAACAAAATTTAGCAGATATAAGAGAAAGATTGAGAATGCTGTTACAACAAAATTTACTGAAAAATTCGCCATATTTAAATATGAAGGTACATGTATCGAATAAATGCATACAATGTATGCTTTACTATTCATAATTTTACAATATTGAACGTAATAATATTAATATATATATATATATATATATATATATATATATATCAATTAATGAAATCGGATATAAATACAGATACATTTTGCTGTTTGTTGCGCATGATTCAATGCTTTTTTTAAATTTGATTGAAAAGAAATTAGGATCTATGTAGGAAAATCACTAGTTTCATTCATAATCATATGCCTGTTGGAGAAATTAGTAGGTGTTATAGATGTTTTGGGGCTTTCGCTTTGGCTAGTATCGCAGCTATCGTTTTTTTTATCCGTTCTTATATTATTATCTAATCTAGATTTGTAAGTATGCTTAGGAGATGTTCCTGGGCTTATAAAAGAGCAACTACATCTACTTTGGTTGCTATTGCTACAACTGTCGTTATCGCTTTCACTGTCGACACTAGACTCGGAACTGCTCGTGCATAATCTTTTTTCAGTACGTAACATTTCATTTTCCCTTCTTAACTGCTCGTTTTGTTGTATCAGATCATCAATCCGTTGTTGGCATAGTTTCAATTTTTTGCTATCTCAGAATCTGTAGTAGATACATTTTTATTTTCCGAATCTCTTTCCTCCATTTGATGAATGCTCTTATTACGTAATCTTTTTGTCAGCGAATCCATTTTAGCTTCTAAATGCCTGTATTCCTGTATTAATTCTGTTTTTGTCAAAGTGCTCAATCTTTCCTCATGAAGGGCTTCGTATGCAGTTGAAAATTCTTTTGTCAAAAACTCCTCTTCATCTTCCGGAGATGAATAAAAATAATCTTCATCAGAATCTATGCTGAAACTGGAATCACGAGTACGTGGTGGTGCTGGCGGTTTTTGAAACATGGCAGATACTTCCAACGACGCAGCTTCCGATAATTTTTGTTCAAGATCAGGTAGATCGTTGTGATCATCCATAAGAAATTGCGTTGTATTATATAGGGCTGGCGGTTGCCTATTAGTTTTTGCAATTCTACCGATACACCTGCTCCGCAACTGTTGCTGATAAGACAATTGTTTCAGATAGGGTTTTAACTTCCTATGCTTAGGTTTACCCCTGCGAGTTTTCCTCTTCTTCGCCGCTGTATCCTCATGCTGACCACCGTCTTGGTCACCGCTACCGCTACCGCTTTCCAGTTTTCCATAGGTCTTTATAAATGACGCTTTATACTGTAAAACACAAATAAAAGCATTTTATTAAATAAATTTAACTAGAATTATATTAATGATCGTTTTATATTTTATAATTTATATATTATATATATATTATAATTTATATATTTTATTATATATGTATTATAATTTATATATTTAGAATTGGCTTGAGATGAGAAAGCATATACAAACAACAGTATATAATTATAAAAAAATTAGTTTAAATAAATACACTAAGAATATATTTCCAAATATATTCATAAAATATAGACATCACAAAATTGTATATCTAATGTTTACGCTTATCTCACTTATCATCAGATGATAAAAATGGTGGTAAGACTTCTTTACCTTACTTCCGCTAGAACGATCGACGTTCGGTTGACGTTTCGCGTCGTCGCCTCCAGGTGGCGCCGCCCACTTGGGCAGTGGGCGTGATGACGCCGCAGGCGTTGGCTCCGCTTTTACGGAGCGCACGACGCCCTTCGCGTCGCGTACTTCGCTATCGACACAAATGCCGCCCGACGCTTTTTCCGCCGTCGTTTCCGCCTCGCGCGTCTCCATGCTCACAATATTCACGAAAATTCTTCAATTCAGGATGGCACGAGTCCGCTCCGCCCTTAGAAAGTCACTCTCCCGCACTGGTAGACGCCGCTCGGGCGCTAGAAACCGTTTGCTCTCACCGTAAACAGCGACTGAATCGCCATGTTTGATCTGTCCGTGATTCTCCGTACGATAGCGAGGCGAAACATGCTGACGTATGGTCCCTACTTCGACCACCTCGCGACCCTCCTCCTCTCCACCTCGATCGCGTATTCGCACGGCGCAAGGCAGCGCAGTTGCGTTCTGTTCTTCTCGATTCGCGGCGCCTCATCTCGCGCACGTT